CCATGAGACTCCATTGTTTCGCGTTTTCCAAATATGGCACAAGATGGCGTCCATGAATTTGTTTAACCAATGACATTAAACAACATGATGCGCAACTCCGGCATTTTTGTCCGAAGATCGTATTCGATAGCACGCTCCAATGCACATACTTGACGAGACGAAAACGAGCGGATGTGTGCTGCTTTCAAGGCGTAGCACGAATGGTGTTCGTGCCTGCTTTGACAATTGTTGTCGATTTTAATGATATTTTTGAAAGTTGGGATAAAAAGAAATCGGTAAAAGGTAAGGTGAATACTATTGTTGTATATCACACCCGGGCATCGCACTGTTAAGTACATGTGGGAAAGCCAGCCTTTGTCAAATACTACGAAGTTATTAATTCAGTACGGTACGTAGTTGCCCATTTGCCGAAATTACATATTTACTTACTCCTTATGGTTTCAAATAGTTCATGCACCTCCAGTTAGATTTTTTTAATCAGTGAGGATATATACTCATTGTTGATTGCTGCTCATTGTAACATACTATTACGCATTCACTTTTATTTGCGTATTGAATCAAAGTGTTAACAAGTTCATCTAACATTTCACTCATACCGGTCTATATTGTATAGTCTGATTTCTCAAGTATTTGGAGCCACGAATGCTTGTAATTTTCTGACTAAACCTTTTTATTAGTTGGTTTATATACCAAATTCAGTAAAATATTTTTTAAATAAAACATGAGATATTGGATTTATTAGCTTTTCCATTCTGAATCATATAGACTGCTTTATTTATTCTTAACGAAAATTAATAAATCTCCTCTCTTTCTTCAGATGTGAAAGTTGTGGACAAACCTGTCTAAGCATTGTGAGACTCTTGCAGCACAAGAGGCAATAGCAGAAATAGTAAGTATATCAATCAAGAAATTAAGCCGACATAAAGCAAAACTTTCAACTATTCGTCTAATCTCAATTTCCTATTATTTATTCACAGGACAACTATAGCAGACGGGGAGATATCAGAAGTCTGGCGACATATCAGTGACAGTGTGATTCCAAGAAATATAATGCAATTGAAAATTGCAATAGAAAAACAACCTATGGAGGCATGCAAAGACATTTGACCCTCCGGTAGAGTTGTGTATAGCCCCCACATCCTGCAGGGCTTGAGGAAAATAACTAAAAATTCCAAAGCGTAAGATTGCATAAGCGGTCTTATTTGTAAAAAGGCACAAAACACGCCAGACATACTTAAAACAGCTTTGGAAATGAGGATTACGGGTACCTCACTGCACCTGTGTTATATTTGGTTCATCAACTTTTGGTAGTACTATAGAAGAAATTCCGGAAGGGGTATAATCATCATTCATGATAAAATACTATCATATATTTTTTGAACAACTTCAATCTAGACCAGGGATCTCAAACTCGCGGCCCCAGAGAACTTCCAGTGCGGCCCTCGAACGCTTAACAATAATTGTAATAGTATTTTTGAAGTTTTTTTTTTTATCTAAATGTAATAGATTTTTCAAACCTTCTAAAGTGAAATTGATTATTCACACAGAAAACAATTTACTGAAAGTAGTTTTGGAATATTAATTTTTTTGTCCACATTTTGACCCAATCAAGAATACACATCAAGCTAGCAAAAGAATACTTGAATAAAACACTTGAGTAATTAAATTAAACGCAAAGTACATGAAGAAGGTGGCATTTTCGAAGAAAATGGGAGTTGTAACATTTCTGCTCTTCACAAAATTCTGAAGCACATTGATTAATTTGTCATATTTCCGTCAATACAATCAAAAAACACAATAAGCTCAGCAGTCAATATGACAAATTCGAAGACCAACTTCGAACAGAAAATTTCCATGTGTTTGTATATTAATATAATTATACAACGACTTAGTTACTAAAAATCAATATCAATAATAATTCAAGCAATCCTATGCCACGCAATGTAGTGCGAAATGTCTTGTCGAAAAAATCTGTCATTTGTTTTTTTACTGATCTATACATGAAATGATAAAAGAAACTTTTTTGCATTACTGGAATTAATTAAACATTCGTAAAGATCCAGATAAACCCATGATCATGTGGCCTCGTTAGTTAGAGTTGGTACTATAAAATCATTTCAGACTGGCCTTAGTATGCTGGTGACACAAAAAAGATGCCGAACGCCAGGACAAATGTAATTATTAAAACATTGAGTTTATACTGTAGTATTTTTGTTAATTTTAGGTTCATATATTTAGATTAAGTTATTTTTAGTGTATGTATTATTCTTTCCTTATTCAAAGCTTGTTCAAAAATGATTTTGATGGTTGTACATAGAATTTTACGATTTTTTATAATAAATACTGTAACTTGCAAATGTTGCAATAATAGTGGAATGCAAATATTAATATGTAATTGCATTTGAAATTGAAGAAAATAATAAAACTTAATCCAACTGTTTAGTTGCATCACAATATATGTCACAAACTAAAACTATCTTAAAAATATCTTTTAAGTATACATTATCAAAAACTGTTTGCGGCTCTTTTTACAATTTTCAAAATGCAATGCGGCTCTCGAAAACCCATGAGTTTGACACCGCTGATCTATTCTAGACGATTCAAGCATTGCTTTGGGAAATTATATCACTTCAATTAAATTGAAATAATCTCGCTATATTAAATACAAAATCGTTGCTATCATAAAGGTAAACCAATTCAGCCACTCGAAATATATTGGCCTTCACAAAGCAATGGAGGCAAAATTGAGAAATCATGAGCTATGAACATTTGTTCTTTTCTTTGTCTTGAACTTTCCATACTCCACAGCCCCTATTAATTTTTTTTAATTTTAATTACCATGTGATGGTCATACATATCTTTAACTTGTATTTTCTGTCATGATGTATTATCTCAATGTGCCAAACTATTAATTAGTGTGCATATTTTGCTTCCAGATGACATAAATGTATTGTCATGTTTATTACCTCAGCTTGGAGTATTGACAAGAAAAAGGTGCCAGTAAATTAGGTAAAAAAATTTTCAACTCATTGTTATAATCAGAATTCACAATCAATAGGAATTATAAACAGCCAACAATCAGTGAGAATTATATGCGAAATCCCTCAGAATAAATTTGTCTAAAATCGGAGGAAGGCAAAAAATATAGGTAGTTTCCATCCACACAAGCATTTCAAGAAGACTTGCTCGAGCCAAACTAAATGAGCATCGTCAGGTGATCGGTAAGGCTGCAAGTTGAATTCAGCCCTGCAACCTCCTGCATAGAAGATAATATTAATTAGTGGGCTATGAGCTAAATTCCTAAATTTAAACAAACCTATCTACGATGCATTATGTACCAGCAATGTTACCTACGATTAACTGAATATGTAATATGTCTAATAAATTCACCTACAAAAGCAAGTTCGATAGGTGCAAACTTTGTGTTATGGAATTGTATCGCAGCACAGTTTTGTATGACACCCTCTTTAAATGAAATTTCAATGATTAAGCGCAAACATTAATATTACTAACTTTGAACTTTGTCATTATCTGCAAAATGTTCCACACAAATCTTTCCGCTATCGCGTTTGTAATTTTCTCTGATAAAAAAAAACGTCTATGATGTCCAGAATTGCTCTTTACAGCTTGCCTGTTATTCCAGCTTTCCAAGTAAGCAAAACTTCTCAGATATAGAGATTATTTTGTTTCGTTACAGGCGCAAAAAGGCAGGTACTACACGTAAAAAAGACGCCGAGTAGCAAAAGCGAGCGGAAAACGGACGCGAAAGGCGACGAGAAATATGTGCATTGGAGCGTATCATGAAATACAATGTTTTGCCTGTAGTCTTATGGAGTGACGTCAGAGTTGCCTATCATGTTGTTTAATGTCATTGATCGCACTTAACGAGATTTCGTAACTGCGTTTTTGGGAGACAAGGTTACGTGGTCGTAAACGGGGCTTTTTACGAAGTTTGGCGAATGGGGCCCCTGGTCAGATGGATATGCGCAGTTCTCTTGGTGCAATTTATGTCGGTATAACCAGTGGAGCATCCATAGGGGTTGGTGAATGATACCCATTTGATAATGCACGTCATTTAAATTTAAACCTGAAAGCTCAACCTATGCTCAACAATAACATCAATACTCCACGAATTGAAAACGGTTGCATTTTTTATGACAAAAGTAGTTTCCCCCTTATAAAGTTGCACCTCGGGTTTTGTGGTTTGACGACAGCTTGCAGAATAAAGTGGGTGTTCGGCAGGTTCACAAATGTCAAGAACCACTGGTTTGAAACCTATAATCAGGGATTCTATTCTATACCGTCCTTATTTCTAGCGATTGTTCTTATTTTTGGCTTGATTCTGGCTCGCATCCTTATTTTTGGCTTGCGTGTCTTTATTTTGTCTTATTTGGAATTCATAAAGGAAGCTTTGTGTTGTTTGTCTTATCGCCAAAACTTTATTTTGGCATCATAAAAGCACCACAATCTTATTTGGAACACAAAGAAGCAAGGCACAAATAGCATAACGCATTGTGGGTGTGGCGATCGTTATGTTTTATCGTGGTGGTGGTTATTTTAGCCTAAATTTAAAAATGAGCAAACGTAAGAACGTTTTTCGTGATGAGTACGGAAAAGAATCCAAAGTTAAACGAAGCTTGGAGGGTGAGTGCTCCGCACACTGTGACGTCTGTAATTGTGACATTACCCTGGAGGCCATAAGAGAACCAGCTATTTCTGCTCATAATGCAGAAATTTTTCCAGTCGTCCTCATTTTGAGTTCCAGATCGATGGAATCTCTGCCTATAATAGATGTTTCCCGGGACGTTTTTCATCGTCAGTGCATGTGGCACGGTTTCTGTTTGTAATCAATCTCCACTTGATATCGGTAGGGGGCAGTAGTAGCGATTTTCAGTTCTAGATGCCTTCTCTATGATATTGTGAAAGTTTTATGAAGAATAAGAACAGTGTTTAACCGCAGCCATAATGGCATTTTTGGTGAGCTGTATGCTGAACCGCTAGGTCCCTCTGGTGGTGTCATATCTTGCACAAATGCACAGGTGTATCGCTTTAGCCATATTAACTCAGTTTCTAATCTAGAATCTAGTCGAAAATAGATTGCTGATTCCATACCGTAGTGATTTACATACAGACATAACTCCAAGATATTGCTTGGACTGTAGCAGAATAGAAACTTAGATCAAGATCAAAGCGAAACTAGAAAATCCAGAAAAGAAAATTATACCGTAAATATGCAGCATTGTCGCCGTGATAAAAAGAGGAAGTTAAACATCAGAACAAGCTAAACATAGAAAGGAAGTAGGATCTGACAGAAAACGTAAACCAGTAAACAGAGAAGGGCAAAATGTTCTGATAAACTAGAACTAGAAATATTTTTCGAATTTAATTTGGAGGAGAAGTGCCAAGGCCATGGACCAGGACCAATAACAGTATTCGTTAGCCTAGGCATTTCCCTTCACACCAAAGAAAAAAGGGGAATTAAAGTAATAACAGTACGGTATAGGGAGGGGAATCACATCTCCATACAAGCAAGAAGCAATACAAAGATATTGTGAAAAGGCAGTAGGTCAAGATATTTTTGTATTGCTGTATTAGTATTGCAGTTTTTAATGATGACCAAATCATTTTTTTCAATGCCAGGATGTAAGGATTTCATTTCAGCCAAGGCAGCAAGGTGAATTGTCAAAACCTCCACACAAAAAGAATTCTCCTAACATCTTGTATATCTGTATATGTATGACTTGTGAAAGTATTGGATTAGCAGTGGAAGCTTTAAGCAAAGTCATTTAGGGATGGGCAATATAGAATACCGGTAATTCACTATTTTAGAATAGTTGAATCGAATCCAGAATCCTGTTTTATTTTTATTGGTATACAAATTTGGGAATTCTCCCACCATACTGATGGTTTACAACTTAAAAAAAGCAAAATTGTATAACTAACTACCCTTTTTTTAATTGAAAATACCATGAGCATTGGATTTTATTTGTTACCAAACAGGACAATGAAATATAAGAATTTTAACAATAGTAAATTGTAAAATACAAAAAATAGGTAAGAAAAAACATTAAATTATTATTAATGTGAGCGCGCTGCCACACCGAGGCCACTGCAATTTATGCACCCCCAACGGGTGCTGCACATGGTATGGCACGGTAATTAATGTTGTAAAATATATTTAACGACTATCAATTATAATCAAGTATGTCAGCGTGTTTATTTTCTGTGAGCAAGACTCGTAAAATAACATCTTGAGACAAATTCATTCTATTGCAAAATCTTAATTTTCAGTTATTATCGTTATACTTACCAAGTGTGGTACGGTAGGTTTTTTAATTGATCGTTGACTAAAATACCGCCCGTCACTCGACCAAACGTGTGCTGAGCTTGGATGATAGGATCGGATTCATCGGCAACTTGAATTCCGTAAAATATGTATTTTATAGGGGGGGGCAAAATAAATGTAACGAAACGCATTGTTCTGCGATATAACTTTGTATTTTTGGAAACGCGGTGTCATGAAAAGTAAATTTTGATCTAAATTAATCGCAAATAATCATCTAACGTCTGGCACATATCATTTTCTGGGAGAACTCGAAGGCCGCGAAAAGTAATTCAATTTAAAATAAAGAATGTTGCACGTATTCCAAAAATTTAATATTGTTGCAATCGAAAAATCGCCAGTAAGTCGGCATTCGCATATAATAATAATTATTATTATAAGCGAAGTAGATAGTAAAACGGTAAGACGCGAAAAAGTGCAATTACGCCAGCTTCGCTTTCTGAATATGCAAGCTGGGATTACGGTGTTTGCCTCTTTTGCGGGTTCTTTGCAAGAAAACACAAGTATAATCAAACGAGAGAGATTTCGTCGCGAGAGAAAACGCCTGTCAGACACACTGATCAATAAATTAGAAATACAAAAAACAAAAATTGACGCATAGTGCCGAAGAGGCGGAAACCGAATCCTGTTATCGGATCCTTTTGGATTCGAATATATTGAGTTGTCAGAATGTTAAAAGATGCGAACCCAAACAGCAAAATCAATTTGTCTACTTTCATGTGGCCTCAGACCTCCACACATTACAGAAAAAAGCACTCTTCTCACACCTCTATTGTATATTTTTCATTATTTGTGTTTGAGCTTTTTTGTTTGCTTTGTTTTGAAATCTTTTACATTGATTCCTTGTGGTTGCCGGGTTTTCAGTTTGTTTATCCAAAAATGCTCTTTGTTCTTTCTGTATAGCAATAATTTTCATGAAGGCATTAGAATTGCCATATTCAGTTACTGAGCTGCGTAAGTTTGAGTTGACTGATCATGAATGCAAATTACATTGAACAAACAAATTCAACACAAGCTGGCTTTCTTATGACATCACTCAATAGCTTAAGAGAACAAAATTTTCTCTGCGATTTCGATGTCAAAGTTGGTAACAAGTCCTTCCGGGCTCATCGCTGTGTCTTGGCTGCCTCGTCAGGATATTTTAAAGCGATGTTTTCAAGCAAAATGAAGGAATGTCATAATGGATTTATAGATATGAAAGATGTTGACCAGAATGGAATTTCTCAATGTATAGAGTTCATGTATAAAGGAGGAGCAAGTTTGAAAATGAAATATGTTCAACATATCCTGCAAGCATCCAACTTGTTACAAATGGTTGGTTTAACAAATTTTTGTTTCCATTATTTGCAAACCAATCTCTCTCGGACCAATTGTCTTTCTGTGATCAATTTGGCGCAAGCGTACAATCGTCATGATATAAAAAAACAAGCAGAACAGGTTCTGATCACTAATTTCAAATTAGTTATTTCCTCTGAAATGTTTCAGTTCATTATCAAGCCAGATCTCCTACGTTACATCAAACTTTCAAATGTGTGTTATCAAACATCATGGCATGCTATGATAACATGGGCAAGAGCAATTGATGAAGATGCAGAGACACGTTTTTCTGATCTTGTCACAGTCAACAACATCCAGACTTATCCTTTCAAATTTCTTCTTGAAACTGTATTGGAAGAAACACTGGTGAAAAGTAATGACATTGCAAGGAATTCAGTCATCACTGCATTATTCTCTGATGTCAAAAATCTCGAAACAAATCTTGGGATTGACAACTTCTTCATTCTTAAGAATCTGGTTGACACTCATCGAGTCACCAACCGAGAAGCTGTGAAATATGTTATGGATAGATTCCTGGAAGCGAATTTTGAACAAATCATTGAGAAAAAGGAGTTTTGTGATGTAAGCAAAGATGCCATCATTAGGATTTTGAAATCCCCGAAAACAAAATGTTCTTCTGAGCCTGTAAAATGGCATGGAGCCCTCCGATGGGTCAAGCATGATATTCAAAAAAGGGAAAATGATTTTCAAGCTCTGTTTAACCTTCTTGACCTCAAAAAGTTTCCCCTGCAATTTCTGGAACAAACCGCCCGCTCAGAAACTTTGGTCAGAGATTCTCGTGAATGTTACGATATACTTGTGGATGAAATATTTTCCCGTGCACGGAAGAAGCCATCTACAACAGCAACAATAACTAGAGGAGATACAGGAACTCTTTGGAACAACGTTACATCACAAAGTCACGGCTTTGGGTATGTCCAAGAACCACAATTGCCCACATTTGCATACCCGGGATACTTCAGGCCCAGGCACACTTCAGGTACAACCTCTAGCATTTCTGCTGCAAAACTGAGTTTAATGGTGTGATTACCGAGTCTGATTCCACCAGGGGTTTTTCATTTCTAGCTTATTGTTTTATTATAATTCTGAACAATTTAGTCGTGATTTATTAAAAAAAACGTCCCAACTACTCATACTAGGGTGTACTGGGTTTTCCTGAACCCAAACCACGATTTGAACCACAAACCGAAACCATGATTTTTTTTTTTGAGCAAAATTCTGGTTTCAAGTACAATATAAAATCATACTACTTGCTGACTTATAAGTTGTGTACGGATAGTAAATTTTAAGTTGTGAAGACAGCGTTCGGCACCAATTACAAATAAAATTGGGTTGATGCTGATTGCTGAGACTCCCAAGTTGGAATTTCGACTTGAACCTGAAGCCGAGATAAATAATGAGAATGTAATTATGTACAGTATGTAATACCTGATTCAAGCAGAGACAGGTTGCTGAGTGGTTGGTGGTTACGAATTTGAAAACTGAAAAAAATGCGATCAGTCCTTTTTCATTTTCCCCTGTCTATAAATACACATTATACTTTAATTTACTTCAAATAAAGTTAATTTTTCATTTTACAGAATTTCAGTCTTCTAGTCAAGCCACTCCATCCGGTCCAAGATTCATCCTCTATCCACAACCACCTGGTGGAAATGTGTCATTTGAAAGGTTGAAAAAAGAGTCACTGCCAGGATATAATTATGGGTCGACCTATGTCATTACCTACCTATTTCCTGCTGGAAGTTCAATGGTGAGTTATGTAATGAATGTGTTGATTGAATGATGAGTTTATTGGAACCAAGATCGTTGGTGCTCGTATTAATTTACATTGTAGAAAATTTTCTGCATTTACACAAAGCAATTTTTTGCTGCATTTTTGATTTAATTTAATTAATGAGTATGATAATTATACAGCATCTTCAGGCCACATTGGTTTCTTAAAATTGTTTAGGAGCAATTTTTTTTTTTTAATAAAATATGACCATCTTTGGGTTTGACCAAAAATCATATCATACCATTTTCCCTACCTAACAAAGATGTGTGCTCACTTTTTTTTTGCGCAATTGATTTTACTATTTGGAAAAAGTACTTGAATGTACATTTGAATTTATTTCACACCAAACATGTGTGCTTTTGTGTTGAATATGAAAATATAATAATATTTACCGTAATTCAATTGAAACCATTTCTTAGTATCATGATCACTTCATGTTGTCTCAAAATTAGATCACGCGCAATATTGAGTATTCGCTGATACATCATATAGGCAGTAGATATGTTTTCCTGTTTCAAATTAACGAGTAATTTTTTTCCTGATAAAGCTGTGGCTGGGCGTTTTTGGCCTTTCAACACACATAGTGTTTGTCTCTCCTCTGTATGCATTCCTATCATTCTCTATTTCATCTCTTTGCATGCTTCACTGATCTGCACAGTCAGTTCTGCGTCATCAACAAAATTATTTTAGGCTGTGGGATGATCTTGAAATTTGTTACTTTTTGTTTGATTCCTCACCTAACCGATTCAAGTCCTTTCTCACCCTCTTACCCTGTCCCACTTAATTAACAATGCAAATCAATGATGCTAATAGTCAGAATACGACTGCTGCAAAGAGACAGTCGTGCTTCATCAATATACTGGTTGTAGGCTACGGTATGGTGCTTCTGAATGCTGGAACTAGGTAGCATGTTGCAATCTGGAGAGTTCTTGATCTTTCTGACGCACCAGATCCGGGTTTTGTTTATTTTTTATTCCTAGTTAAAACGTTGATTATATTCTACTTAACAATAAATGCGCTGTTTAAGACAATCGATCTGAGGGTAATCTAAAGGGGGAAATTATTGTATTTTTCTGGAATGCAATTTTGCACATTACCCCTTTGGTTGACAAAATGTAGAAAATCATGATACATTACAAGTTTTTTGGTATAAATAGTGCCGATATATTGATATTATATGTCATACGGATGAAAAAATTAGAACTCGTATTTTGTACGAGGAAGTTTGTCGTTGCGTTTGGTATACTGTGTATCGCCAGACAGCGCTTTTATTTTGTATAATAAGAGTTCATTTAAAGTGAAAGTGAACATGTGCGCTCATTAAACATCAAAGATTGTTTTTATAAAATCCCATATTACAAGAAATGTGATATCCAGCTGTAACAATTAATAATTTTACTTTGCGTAATCTTAATAGTGAAGCTGAAAAATGCAAATGGTGGCAATAACGCTTCTTCTCCGTCAGTTTTCATGAATCTGCGTTTTCATGAATCTTGAACATCTCTGCAGTGCTTATTGTGTTCGATGTTGCCGCAAGTGTATGTGTATCGCAAGTAAGAGCAAGCGATAGAACAGAAATAGCGGCACACATGTGCTTGCGAGAGATAATGTCTGAATTGCACATCCCTATATAAGAGGTTAAATCAAAGACAATCAAAATCGGTTATATATAAGGTCTTGTTTGTAGTGAAGGCGTGACATGCATGTGAAACTATGCTTTTGTAGAATATTCAATGCAATTTTTGGCTTGAAAATTTGCAAATGTTTATATCAGTTTTGACGCTCCGGAAGTATGTGCACCAAGATGGCGCACAACCTGAACCCTGTCTTGGTGCACATACTTCGAGAGCACCTCAGTTTCAATAAAAAAGAGTTGAATGTCTTGCTGTTTACTTTTGCAGGAGGTTTCATATGATGCAAAGAAATTCACTGAATATTTGCCATGCATATTTCTTCCTGGACGTCTTGGCCTTAAAGGGTTGGTAGAGAAAGCATTTGATGCAGGATTACTCTTCAAGATCCAGAAGAGAATTGGAAGCAACAGAGGAGAGATAATATGGAATGATGAAATTCCTCACAAGACTAACAAACATGGAGGTCCAAATAAGTGGGTAGTTCAGTTCCGTTAAATAAAAGCTTCACAAATATTGTTTGAAACTTTTCCTAATTATTATTACAGGATTGGGATGCCAGGGAAAACTTCCAATCTTTGCAACGAATAGTGGCCCCTTGCTCAATTAACGCACCTCAACTTAAGCATTCCAATCTTCAAATCCAACTTGTGAATTCATGTTTAAATGAAAATAAAATTGATGATTCTTAAAATATTTTTCGATCAAGACAAGTAGTTAGACATGGAGGTTATTGGTTTACAATTCTATAGTCATCATGGTTTAAGCATTGTCTTTCTTTGCAATCTTGGAACAACCAAATTAATGAAATTGAATATTATAAGCAAATAATACAAATAAATTATACAGATGTTCATCCCCACCTACAATTAAGTTGACATTCCTTGTACACATCAAATCTTAAAATCAAGTATAGCAAGGCTGAGTACGCAATCCTCAGTAAATAGTTCTATGGTTGTACTAAAGATTCTTCACAACTGATATGATCTATTTCAGCAATGGATATCCTGATGCAGACCATACATGTAATTTTTTTGATGCGTTGAAGACAAAATTAAAGGAGGAAGGAATCAAATACAAGAGATGATCAACAATATATGCATGAAGTCTTTAAAAATTTGATATCGTCAGTTCGGACAATTGAACAGGAAAGGAAAAATGCAAGACAACATAGTGAATAGTGGGACGATCTATTAACTACAACATCAGTCAGATTTGACTCGGTCTATTCTTTTTCAACAAACGTTGTACATATTTTTAACACTCCAAAGTCAGTTAGTTTGGGAATCGTGACGATTCTGACTTAAATCTTCGAAGCCAACATTATTGGTCTGCTAACTGTAGTTCATCTTCATTACAGGTTTGTTCATATTGTTTGCCAATGAAATACTCACTATTGTGAACCTGGTCCAGAACCAGACACCCGTACTTAGTGGCTACTAAGAAAATTTTCGACAGGGGTTCCGTGGCACTCTAGGGTTCCGAAAGTTACCATTCAAATCCATGAACCTATATTATTACATGTATATTGATTGAATAAATCAGATTTGCTTCGGGGAGTGTCACATTTGGGGTTTCGCCTCACTGAAGTACATTGGTTGAATAAATCAATTACCTATTAGGTTTGCCTCGGGAGTGTCACAACAGGGTTTCGCCTCACTGATAAGGTTGAAAAACCACTGTTTTACTACTACCTACCATGTCAAATATTATGAAAAGGTCATTCTATTTATAACAAACTTTGTGCCTTTTGAAGTTGTTTCCATTTCAGATAAGTTTCAGGATAGGGTAGTTATGGAAATGAATTTATATTTTGTAATTTTTAGACCGTCGTGCACTCGTGCTGAACAAACCCTATATTTGCACATATTAAACTTAATCTCCTGCTACCTATTATGATGATAAGTTTGTTTTAAAGCATAGTATTCATATACACATATATTGCACATTGCGATAAACTGTGATGACTTCTGAACATGGTAATCAACAGATTATTCATTCTAAGCTTATGTTTTCTCATTGCTTTGACTACCTTTTTGAAACTACTGAGGGATATAGAGTGAGTGACCTTTTCAACTAATATCAATCATTTTTAATTCCATATAATTAATTACCCTATTATACTATGGTGGTACATTGATGTAGCCTATTTTTGCTTTTCCTCTTGTCATTCTGTTTTGTTATAGCTACTCTTTATGCTTTTTATATGAATATTTCAAGAAATTCCAACTTTTTCCACAACATTTGCCTTACTCCATCTCCCAAGTTTTCTTCAAAATAATTATTACTTCATTATTGCACATTGTAATGCAACCCCCCTTTTATATCTTTGCAGGTTTCTAATTTCATAGTCTTTTTGAAATCATTTCCATTTAATACTTAGTTGAAGATAAGTTTTTAGAATAGGATAGTTATGGAAATGAATTTATTTTTTTTCTTGTAATTTTTAGGCCGTAGTGCACTCGTGCTGAACAAACCCTAGGACAAGTAGTCCCTTTACAAGCTAGATTAAGAAACACCTTAATCTTATGTGTTTAACACTGTCCACTCAGTTTTCTTGTAGATATGGACAAAATAGTTGCTCAGAGTTGAATATATCTCTACTTACGGTGAGATTGTATTTTAGAACTTATCAGATATGCAGTCAAATTTCCATTGTTTTTGAATTATAATTTCATTTCTTGAAAGATGAATTAGTTAACTATTGACTAAATTTAGTCAAATCCAAAGCTTCAGTAGCAATTAAATTTTTGAAATTTCTTCATAAGTACTGATTACCTTTTCATATACACATTTCTAATAAATACAACATGTAAAATATTCAATCATATTTGAATTATGTTTAACACAATTCTGTTATTTTTCACGATGGGAACCGCTGTGGTGATGCATTGTTATAACCATTTTTTGCTCCTTAAATTCTGTTTGTTATAGCAAATTTTTTATGCAGTTTTATATGAAAATTTCAAGAAATTCCAACTTTTTCCACAACATTGCCTTACTTCACCTCCCAAGTTTTCTTCGAAATAATTATTACTTCATTATTGCACACTCTAATATGCATTTTATTAAACCTTTTTATACCTTTGCATCTTTAAAATATGTTTGGGGTTTTATATTCATATCTTGTGCTGTTGGTACTCAAAAACGGGACCTCCTAAAGTATGCGGCCGCACCAAGATGGCGCACAACCTGAACTCAGGTTGTGTACCAGGTTAGGGGTTCAGGTTATGCAACATATTGGTGCGCATACTTCAGGAGTACCCAAAAAGTCTTGGATACAATGATCCATAGGTTTCAAATAAAAGCCTGGGTGTTGTTGTTTTGATATATGACAAACTTTTGGACATTCCAAATTATTCTATTTTAATGCAAAATTTAAAATAAAATATTACTCAAATTTTACTCATCTTATTATCTATCTTGCTATTTTAGTACAAGCTATTTTCTTCGCAATTATGCATATTTCAATCATAGTTAGTTTTATGCTCTGCTTATATTTTTTTTATTATATTTTAATACTTGCCACTGATTATATGTTCCCATAACAAAAATGCCGAAGTAAAAGGAAACTTCTCAATACCTGATATTTTTCTTCCTTGTAATGTGATTTTAACATTTTGACAGACTCTTAAGCTTCTGGAAACTATGTTTATATGCAGTTATGCTTGAAATCTATTAATGCTTGAAATCTATTACCTTTTAAACATTACATTATAAAACCTATATTCATTAATCTTTCTTACTATTGGTGATATTAATATGCTAAGATACATTTTGGGGTTTCACTGTAGTACTTGTGGTTTTATATTTACTTTAATATGAATTGCTCCTCACGTTTCATTTAATAGTTCAAGGAAATATTATATTATTTGAATTCATTTCTACAACAAAAATTCATTTGTCGCCGTTTTCAACTGTTACAAACAGCGAAGAATTTTTTTTATATACAAATCAGTTATTGAACTGGACTAACTTCGGGTCAGAGCGTGAGTTTTTATATAAAATATGATCAGTCTACAGGTCTAATTTTTAGCATATTAGTCGCCTATTAATTTCTGATATACAATTGAATTACTTGTAAATAAATGTATGTATAAATATTTTGTATGTTTTTTAAGTATTTGTGAGATAATTTAACATTTAGTCACCTATATTCATTCATTTATTAGGCATATAACTTTTATTCGTAGTGTTGAGAATTAAGATGGTGTTCATAAAATATGCTTCTATGATGAAATTTATCTAAACATCTAAAAGAGCTTGAACACAATCTAAATTATTTCAAAGGAAATAGCCATATCATTTGGTTTGACTTGTAATCCAAGAATTTGAGGACGATATTTGTGATTTATCAAAAGTACGTTTAAGTTTGCTTAACGTTTTTCAGAAGTCTTGCATAGTAATTTCTCAGCATTAATTATGTGGCTTTCCAGTATTTTTGAAACAGGATTATCATTTGTTTCTTTGATGTTGGATAATTTATTTTTGAATGTGGTGTTTAAAGTTTTTCTGTATGGAAGCAGACAATTAGGAGCAACAATTTTTCATACCGATATTATTTGCCTCTGCTAACTACTTGCAATGCATAACCTCATAATTGATGCAGGCGGACTGTACTAGTAGTGCGTTTATCAATATAATATTAATAATATCACCAAAGTGTTTTTTCAGTTGGAAGAATATGACACCGTTGAATTCTTCATGAAGCGCCCGGCAGTACGATATTAATCTGTAGTCGTGGCCGGATTTAGATAATGTGAGTCCTGGGCGTTGTCGTTTTTGAGGCGCCCTCTTGAAAAACACGTCATAAACAATCCATTATGACATAACAGGTTTTAATAACGTTATATATTATGACATAAATAAAATTTGAAATATACGTGACATACGAAATTTGGTTCAAGTCCAAATACGAATGCTAATCGCCCAGGTAGATTTATTGGATAGTGGATGAAATGAGGAAACTCAATGCTACAGTCCAACCTGTCATCCGATATACCCAACGTCATAATAACCATTTCTAGTCGCGAGACCTTCGCTATTTAATGTTTGGGCAATAATTAATGAACTTGAATAAAAAATGCATGGCAATTTTATTACTGGAGGAAGCCTCTTTAATTTAAAAACGCCCCTAGCTTCAACATACATATTGCACCCACGGACGTTTGCACTCATGTACATTTGCAACCACGAACCTATTTTAGATGGTTGGCGGTTATGGTTTCTTTTGATCTTGAACTGACATCTCAGGTAATAGTCACCTTTATAGTGTACAATTTCTTCAAAAACGGTCATCTCCCGTGCGTTTTATTCAAAATGATATCACTAACTCGATTGGTAAGCACCAAAAAGATGTAAGAAATAATTAAAATACTAATATTGGCAATATAAATTATTATCGCTGATTATGAAAATTTGACAATGACAAGTTCAGAATTAGTTACCGGTCAGAATATTGTTAATGAATAGGCTATATTGCAAGCAGTGGCGTATCTACGTAAAATGGCGCCTATGGCAAAGTTTAAAAATGCACCCCTAGATCGTTGACCGAAAAGTTTTAACGACTTTTGTTGAATTTAGGATATTTGTACGTTATCATTTAGGTAAAAACATTTACAATTAAAATGTTTCGCCATTTTTGCTCCCCTAACCAAACGGCGACCATGGCACGAGCCATGGCTGCAACACCCTAGATACGGCAGTGATTGCAAGAGCTTCTATTCAATGCCATTCAACAAGTGCGCATTCTGTGGCAGAAATATTACCACAACGACATTTTCGGAAAGTATTGGCGAACGGTTTGATTTTACAATATTCCCTGTCGTACTGAATACACGCTCTGATGGTACACTAGTGCAGGTCTCGCTTGCCCATTTGCGGTCATCATAACATTTGAGTGGTGTTAGATGAAGTTGTATTGGCGTTCAAAATAATGATTGGAAGGGTTGGCGTCCAAATTGCAACAGTACAAAGAGAAAAATATGCAGAGTACAAATCCGAAAATACGCGAGGTAAGCATAAAATCACAATCGTGATCTAAGACTCAAGAGACAAACACGCAACATAGATTGCATGAGATGTATACGACAAAGTGAAAGAAAATAAATAGTATCAAAAAATAAATCAAATTAAAAAAATGAAATTTGTGCAGATTTCATATTCAGCATATTTTTAGGGTTCACACCCCTGCTGTAAATCTGCCGTCAATGGCATTGCTTTGCTTTCTTCGGCCATTGCGAAGCGACGAAATTGCTTTTCTAGAAAGGAGACGCAAGCTAGCCTACGAAGTCTGTGTATGTTATTTCTTTATGTAAAAGTGGCCCGCAGCTCTAAAAAGGTTTGAATGCCGTAGGTCAATAATCTTCAACCATTTTTTTGCAATGTTAAAGCAAAAGACCAAGGTTCATAAGAATAGTTTCACCGTGAAAAACTCTCCATTTACTTTTATCTTGCACACATTTTTAGTTCTTGTTTTAAGAGCTGGCGCTGGCGAACTGTTAAATCTTCAAATTCATCATTTTGTTTCGACATATCCAAGAAGCTGCCATTAAAAAGCAGTGACAGTTATTGAACGCTGAGTTAATTGATTCAAATCTAAATATCTGAAAACATTAGTAAAAATTGACTAATCATACATACTAATTATACATTGCTATTGCTACATTACAAGACTGGGAAGCCTAAATCCGAGGAAACTTTCATTGCAAACTGTGTGTCGCCAAAGTCTTGAAAGCGTGCCACGGATTTTTCACAAAATTTCTTAAATCAATACACAATAATCAACATGAACACTATTACATAAAATCAGTAATGGGTGTTGTTTGGTAACACACCTATAACGATTCCTTACTTTATGTACACCGATAGGTGATGTATTGTGGCACACCTGTCTAATGAGGCGTTGTACGTTTTCGAACCCAACCCAACAATGCAAGTTTGCTCAAAGTGAAGTCGCTAGACTTAAACTAAGCACTTTTTGTCCGCTACGGCTGCTGAAATTTTGAGTTCGTAAACTTTGATATTCATTGCTTTAACGAAAATTTGTCAAATGAAATTATTTGTAGCTATAGAAAAGTAGACACTGATACTTGAGGGGCTACTAATTTTGGAAAGATTGCAATTTTCGTGATTTGTTAACCATTACTGCTCGGTAATTATTCAAGGTAATCTATGGATCGTTTTTAAAATATGGCTGTTTCAAGACAAATTACCGTTTCTTTTAAATTACTGGAACAATCCCTTTCAGACTGTCCGCAGTTAGGAAATTGGAGAAACTCTTCAATTACATAACTTTCATAATTTTTTACATTTTCTCTGAACTATTTCGAGCTCTTGATTTTACATAAAATTTTGTTGAACTTCGCCATCAGGTATATTTTCTATCAACTCATTCCCGCGAGTGAGTGTTTCAACGCTCGTTATTAAAGAATATAATATATATCAGTACAAAATATATGTTGACAAAATATACAGTAAAACACAAAATGATTTGCATTTTCATGATTCTCATGAAATCTTGTTTTAAGCTTATTTACTCTCCCGAAACGCATAATGTTTGCGGATTAGGGATTTCAAATAATTGATTTGTAATAAGTGGGCCGCGACTTTTTCATTTCGTTGTGCCGCAAACTGATCTATTGTCACGCAAACAATACTTCTTAAAACTAAACCAAATCAGAATTGATTGAGGACTCGATAAAACTGCTTTCGAATCCGAGTCCCAAAATGTGTAGATTCGACTCGAATCCGGTTCCACCCCGACGTTCTGAAGTTATTCAATTAGTGATTATTACATATGTCTGTTTACCCCAGCATTTATATGGATGGAATTTAGCCAGGTAACTCCTAAAAGTCCCTGTTTTCGAAAACCTATCATTTTCACGCTTCGTGAAACATAGCGTATGCTGCAAATTCCATTAGGCACGTTATAAACGCAACTTATATGCCCATAAATATATATAAATTATATCAATAATCAAGTAAAATGCGAACGAACGTCGAACGTCTCCTTTTTTGGCAGTTATTCAATTGGCAAAAAAACATATTGCGTTGTACGCAAACCTTAAATCTTTTTTTCTGTTTGTCTATGACAAGCTAATAAAACAGAACACGACAGGATTTGGTTTTCATGTTTCATTTACTACTGCTGGTAATCCACTTTCAAAGAAACTACTTAAATTCACATTATACAGCTGTCATTCAAAATAAATAAAATTGCCACAAAGAATAATTTTAATCCATTTAAAAACCACAAGAACGTGGTATCCTAACGCCCATGCTCACTCTATTTTGATTTCGTTTAGGAAATTGCTGTTCAAACACCTCAAAACATGTCATAATATATAGTCTGATCAAATTAACATTTAAAGATGCAATGAATTTACAAAATGGTTATTGTATTTCCATTTCCAGACTATTTGTGGTTTTGTCTACGTGCACTGAACGTAAAATGGCAACATACCTATTTGATTTAGAATATCGAGGAAAAGGATGTGATATCATAGGTCGATTTCGAAACCTAGAATATATCGCGTAATTCCCGCAATGACGTTGAGTCAAAACCATTCGGGTTGGAGATAGAAGAGGATTGTTCAAAAAGGCGATTTATCATGCCACATAAATGAAGCCAGTCGTATTTTGCCTTACGAGAACTCCAGCGTCAACTGACAATCGTAAAAGATGAATGTAATCAATTTCGTTTTCTAGCCACTCCCTGCATAAAGCATACCAGCATTTACATTATTTCAGTGGTTTAATTCTACAAATAGCTATGTATTCGCGTGCGTCTATCCAGCTGTATCCCAAAGCCTTCCCACAAAATATTTCTTTCGTTAAACACCGCTTGGTATCCCTTTCTTATTTCACTTCCCCTTTATCTCGAACGTATAGCAATATGCAGAATAAAAATTAGATTCGCGTGTTTTGAGAGTTTTACAGCAAAGAAGGGGGTAAAAAGAAATAGTATAAATGTGGGAGCCAAAACAAGCCGTCTTCGCTGGTTTATCGCAACGCTATAATGAACTATCATTGGCGACAGAAAGCATTTTTGCTGCTTGCAAAAGATGAACGGGTAAGTGTCGCACACGAATGGATTAAATGACATCCTTATAATATATTGTGTAGATTCAAATATCCTAATTTTTTCATCAATTTGTGGAGCATTTCATAAATACACTATTAGATAAATACTCGACCAAGTCTGCCAATTAGTAAGTTTGTCAGTAAACTATTTAGTTAGTAGTGAAGGCAAATATGGATATTTAGGTCTTAACTACCGTTAAACATGGCTGTCGAAGAGGCTTATTCGTAATAATAAAATTAAGAATTGAATTGTATGCTATATTATACAATGTTTTTTGGATAAAACTACATCAAAAACAGGTATCACCTGGAATGGGAAAATCGGCGATAGGCGATATACGCAATAAAAAGTGTTCCATTTAATTGGAAAAAATAGCAAAAATTTTAATGAAATATCGGGTCCCATACAAAATTTAGGTGCAGAAAGGTGATTTACCCCCAAAACAACCACTTTGTGTCAAATAACGTTTTATATTCGTTATAGTGAAACCTATTTGCGTCCTTGCGTTGGAGATGAGGATTGGATACAGACAAGAGAATGCTTTATACGTGCGTTCATTTCGTACCCGCTTTATGTGTATATGATTCCTAATGCAAACAAGCGACCAGAATTTTTAAGAAGATATTTCGACGCAATTTATGAAGTCACAATCAGGAAAGGAAATTCGATCATTCTATGTCTTGAAATAAGCAAGAAAATGGACGGATTTGATAAAGTTGTAAATGTAAGTGAACGAAAATTATAATGAATAAAAAAATAATGTAACTTCAGACCCATATGTCCTATATTTCTAAAAAAATGCGCATTTTGTGTTTTAAATAAGTCTGGGTAAAGTCCCACCGCACCATTATAAAGATGGAAATTATCATATTTGAAATCTATCCAATTCTTTTGTCAAACGAATTTTCTTCATTGATCGTAGATATATATATATATATATATATTATGTGTTATTCAAAGGTATGGAAAAGTTTTTTGAAGAGAAGAATATAAATCTTGTGGCTTTGAAGACGACACCTAAACCTTTCGTGTTTGTAGAAAATAAAAATTCTACAATCATTTAATGAATTTAATTCAAATACTAATTTAGGAATGTCCCCACAACACAGTCTATTCAACAAGTAAACGTATCATTGGTGCAATATGGCTTGTTCCACCATCGAAATCAGGAGGATGGGAATGTGCAAGAAATGAAGATTTCATGAAATCTTACGAAAAATATAAATTGAAGAAATTGGATCCAGAATCATTTCAGCGTATGGAAAGGTAAATTTCTATGTTGAAGAATTTTATGACAAATTTTATATATGGATAGTACAAATGTGCCAATTTCACTTTTTGCCGATATCGGTGATATTTCGAGCTACCGATATCACCGATATTCCGACAGCGACTATCCAATATTATTTAATTAAGATCAATGTATGGATTTGTAACAATGTTCTTAAGTGAATGATGTGATAAATCTCAGTATAAATAATAATATTTGCTGCGAACAGTATTTACAGTTAACATTATTCATCAGACTAGAAGAGATTTGCTTTATTCTGAAATACCATATGGATTTGACTTATACAAGTTTTTACGTATATTGTGAAATTTCATTATGGTGATGAATTAAACAATTGATTTGTAATGTGAAATTTGTGTTTTTGTACAGATACGAAGACTGGGAATACGAGAATATAACAAAGCATGTGTGCGCAACCGGCATACCAATGTGGAATGGACCGTTTGCCGCAATGGATCCAGAGTATACAGGACAGGGACACGGAACTTTAATGGGACCAGCTTGCCTGAGGTATCTTGAAAATCACAACCCATCAAAGCAAAAACTTCGACGTCAAATTTCCGAAAACGACAAATCCGATAGCCAGCGATATTCACAAGATATTCCGACAAGAGAGCAAGAAAGAATGAATAAAACGTCAGGATCAAAAATACCGATGTCATGCAAAAGTGATTTTAACTGCAAATACAAATTTAGAAACCAGGAAACAATAGAAAGCGGCCCGTACATTTCCGAAACATGCCCGCCTCTATTTTTCGCATTATCCCACAGTCATCGTTCTGTGAATTTCTACAAGAAGAACGGTTTCTTTTCCGTCACAGACATGATTTATCCAACAGAAGGCATGAGTGAATTGGACTCACTCAGCCTTAAATCTGAATCATTTAACGTAAATGTTTTAATTCTGGATCCTTTCAAAACGGGAAAATATGATGATATTACAAAATGTATCAAAAACAGTAATGTTCAAATTCTTAATAGTCAAACAAAAGCAACGTTCAACAATTTCAAAATTGCTTCTGGCTAACTAACATAAAATCTGAGGAATGATAAAGATTGCTTCTCGATCTGAATGCATTTTTCCACCTTTTTACTGAGTATGCTTTAACTGCGTAGCAGCTACTGTTGCACGTGTGCAGCTCAAAGTATTATGTAATTTGAGATGTATTTTTTATATATATTTATTAATGCAAACGTTTTGAACAGTGAGTAATATTTTGATGCATGAATATAACATAATATTTATTATGTGGAATTCTTACAAAATACTATTACCGTAAAATATGTTCTTTATTAATATAACTACTTTTTTATACAAGAGAAAGATGGTTTTATATTGTGTTATTGAAAACTTGCACGAGGATGATCTCATAGTGATACGTTTAACGTCTCAAGAGCTGTGGTCTTTTTATGAGAATTTGAATCGTCGACATATAACTTTTTATTTAATACCAACTTCCTGTTCCAAAATTATATATTTTCAAATAGCTAAATATATATTTATGATTCATAGATGCACTAGAATCAACGTACATGAAACATTGCTTTAGAAATCGGTTCAATCTGCAATATATTGTGGGTGGCATTATGAAATATATACTGAATTATAAACATAAAATCAACAGTTTTTTGTAATAAATGTCTGAAAATTATTTTCATCAAGTTTTCTAAAGCGAATTGATGAAATAACGTCATCTCAAGATTAGACGATAATATAATTTTTTAAAGTTTTCTTTCGTCTATTGTTTTCCTGAAGATTATGATGAAAAATAAATAAATAGTAACAAACAGTTATTTTCGTGTAATCAGCGAGTGTACAACATTTACATTTCCGTTGAAGACTACGTAAAGAAATAAAATAATAGGATTTGGGGAGTGAGCAATGTTTATGAAACAAAATGAAACTGTTGTTGCGCATACTTTAATCCAATTTACACTCGACGCAATACAAACAACGGGAAACATTGCTTGAAGATTTATCGATTTTTATGCTAATTTGGAGATGATAGAAGGATGAACGAATTTTTTTAAAATTTGAGACTAATAATACATAATAATTTGTATTTGAGTGCATTAACACAGTTTAAATAAATCGGAGAAAACCGTTTATTATGGGAATATGATTACAAGATTGACGTTTATTTTTATTTTCTACATTACTTTCAAGTCCCAACTCGACCCCACAAACAGAAAAAGAGAATACCAAGGTATGGAAGCATAATGATAGACAAAATTCACATGGTACTCACCGTTAACAACAGTAATTTAGAATTGTTAATATGAATAATAGAACATTGGGTGTTGCTGCTCGAAAATCAGTAAAACCGCAACACCTTCTTTTTATTGTAATTCTTGCAGGATAAATTTTCCTTTATGTTGACCAAATTGAGTGTATATTTATAAATATATATTCAGAACAGCCCTTGCAACAATTAATTCATTTGACTTGTTGGCGATGTTAGATTAATGATTCGTACGGTAGTCACCGTCAAAAACAGTAGTTTCATAACTCTAAAATTTCAATTTTCCAAATGAGATATTTGAACCTTGGGTGTCGCTGCTCGATAACTCGATAACCAGCTAACACGAACATTACCAATTAGCACAGGGTGGTACAAACGTTTTAGGAGGTCTCGCGGGCCGCAGTCGGAGAAACCCAAAAGTGATCAAAACATCGCGAGTTTACTCAATTCAAATATATTTAAGAATGAGAGTTTAACCGTCTAATCAGTTTTTCAAGGAAACTGTATAAAACCTTTAGTTATTTCAAAATTTGCTTCCCGAGAAATATCGTGGTATTTTCGGTATGTTTTCTCGTGTTTGGTTTTGTAATGTCGCTTAAAATTATATTCTTCTGTGACGAATATTACTTGAAAACACTTTAGACACTGTGATTTACCGTTGTCGTGTGTAAGGAAATACGTTTCCTCTCTATTTACTTCGGTCACCCTTTTTCTACAATCTACACTCCTTGTATGATTGTTATGTTTGAAAAAATTGATTACTTGTAGCGTGATTTGTAGCCGTTGAAAAACAACCAAGTCCGTCTAAGTTGGGACCTCACACCCAGATAAAAAAAAAACTGGTTCGCGCGGCGCTAAATCATCTCTGCGGTTCGTCTCTGTTGTCACGTGGCCAACGCTTGAAATAGGAGAGACTAAAATAAAGCTACAAAACGTCTCTTCGAATGAGGAGTTATTTGACGCGAGCTCATCTCGTTGACTTGGTCCTGTCTGCACAAGACAATTGATTCTCTTTTTGCCGATCGCGGGACGTTATTCCCATATAAGCACCGTCTTGACGTTTATACAACAATGAAATTTTAACAAACATCAATCCGGACATCGAGATTAGCAAAAGGACTATTCCCAGTTGGAATAGTTTATAAATAAATCAAAATTGTTCTGCTTATAAATATAAATATCTGCCAATAGTTTAGTGGTGTACTCTAAAATTGTTCTGCGGGCCGCAGTTTGGACCACCCTGAATTAGCATGTTCTCGGTACTGTTGTTGCTGTGTAGAGTACCGGTAGCCTACTAACTGAAGGTGAATGGGTGGTTTTGTTTGTTTCGTTGTTTAATTGCTACAATTTGTTACGTGTAAACCCCCTAACGCAAAGGGGTGCTTAACGTTAACGTAAATTCCTTTCTATTTTTCGAACTGAAACCGATATTTAGACAGACAGCGAATGAACTCTCGATAACAATATGGCCAGTGAGGACAGCTGCAGTAGTTTTAAATGTAGGCCTCTAATGTAAAATCGATAAATTTAAAGTTACAAATATCACAGCTATGGTCTTTGGAGCCCTGGAGGCGTCCCGCTTTGAGGTCACAAAAATATGGTAACCTAGGGTAAACCCGAACTGACTCCTCAGAGATCAATAAGCACACAGTGTACTGTTATGTCAAATGTTCGTAGACTCTAATGTTGCACGAGCTAATTGAATCCGGATAGATATATTGAAATATACACCTAAATATTAATACCAGTTATACGGTTGAAATTCACAACAGTAAGCAACACAAAAACATGAAAAACACTAAATCCTTAACTCTCGAACGGAGGAAACACGTCACAAATTCGTTAATACAAAGAACGATCGATACATAGAGCATTGCTAGGACTTGGCGCTTGCCGTGATAAATCATAATCAGGGAAAACAGGGCACTGACCTATTCATGGAATTCACATATTAGTAATAAAAATGGTTTATATAACATTAAAATTCATAGTTATAATCCACCTTCTCTACACTGCAAGTAGAAGGATAAGAATATATCTTAATTGCGGAGTCCCGAGTCCGATCGTGCGGCGGGTTAAGCGGAGTCGTCGATGGCTAAATATGAGTCACTTTGACACTAAATTTCCTATCTCACGTTCAGGGTAAACCAACGTTATTTCGAAATTAAATTCAAAGTATTGAAAAACGGGACTAGTTTCCGACTCGGGGACTCCTCGCAACGTAAATCTGATTTGAATATATATGCTTATCATGTATTTTATATCACTTGAATACGAAGTAAATGAAACATTGAGAAACTTTCAATGACTGAAATCCATATAACTCTAATATAAATTAAACATGGCCTAAAAGACCAGATCATTTTTGCACAATGCTCTGCTTTGTTTCTTTTCTGCTTGTACAATATTCTTCCCAATCTACGGTGGTTGATTCGCCATATTTTGCAAATTCGTTCCAAAGATCCACAACGTCTTTACCGCTAGGACGTTTTCTTATGTGCTTCATAAATCCGATTAGACCTATTTAATGAGTACAATTACCCAGAACATTATCACAAAGTTCAAATTAATGGTACAAAATGATTACAATAAGTAAATCAAAATGCAAATTAAATATCAAAGAATATTATAAATCATAAACTTTGACTAGATTTTCACTTAAAATCTTGCTGTAAACAAGGCACCAGGCAACAAGGTGTTTGTTCGGCAGAACTTCCTCTTATTGTTACACTGTCAAGTGAAATATAATTAAAAGCTCATCCCCCAACTTGCTGAAATTCAAATTAACCGCGGAAGCTTTTACGTTGGGTTTTAAACTCTATATAGCGCGTATATGGTTTATTTAAAAAAGGCAACTGATATTCTGAACTTACGATTTCCTGGAGCACATTTACTCAAGATGAAGTATTTTTTGTAATCAGTCAAGAAGAAATAAGTCGATGCAAATTGTTTCTGTCGAGCTAAAATATTTAGAACGGTTTAATTCATTTGTATATATAGCTAAACTCGTCTCGGTTATTCTGTCTTTCCACATTGTGATACATATACAATGAAACTATTGAAATTTAAATCAAATGTGCAACATTTTACAAGATCATTTGCAGACAAGGTAATTCGAAGAAAATAGTCTACTTTTCCGTAAGCAATTTGGTTGGAAATACTTATCCAGGATCGGAAAAATGTATTTCTCTGTTATCAGATAACTTTTAATTTACACAAACCAATTTCTCACTACGTTTGAATGCAACACTAAGTATATAATTGCATTTTACCATCTTCTACTTCTTGCAGCATTTTTTCATCGGCTTTGTGTTTCACAGATTCTTTAGAAGTTTCTATCACTTTTTGTTCTAAACAGAGAATGTAAATCTGCACCAAACTTACTACCGGGGGATACGACAAAAGTAGACAGATTTCAAATTCCAAAGAATTACAAATTTTTAAGCACTAACAAAATGATTCTCTCACTAATACCACCGCACAAGTTGAATGAAGTAGTGAGAAATATTCTCTCATTTAATTTGAGTTGTTCGACTCAGCACGGCATGGTCAGTCCTGGTATTTTATTGTATATAACCAATGCTTTATCAGAGTCGGTATAATATCAGTATCCGATTGTACAGGTATAGTCTAGGTGGACATCACTGCCGTGTGATTACTTTGAGGAGCTCTCAAAATTGAATTCCAAAGTCAGAAAAATCAGTTTTGACAAATTCCCTTCAAAAAATTATTTTTTATTTCCTAAATTCAAGAAATGTTAAGAATATTAATATTCCACTTGGGGGAATTCAAACAGGAATACCCCTTAGTTGTTTCAAAATTACCGTCAAACCAAATCCCAGAAGAAGGTACGTTTTGCTTTCACTCGCTTCGAGTATTTTTGTTTATGAACATGAAGCTATGCAGTTCTGAAAAGCTAACGTGCGGTAAAATGTGAACTTACTGTTTTTAGGATTGAGCTTATATGTTCCGTCTCCATTATGTACAAAATATAAATTCAATTCGAGCGAGTCTTCTGCTGGACGACTTAAAAACAAGGATCAACCGTAAGTTTGGGGTCAACTTGGTCAGACGCGGTTTTGTGAATTCAGACTTCAAATACTTTGAGAGTATGGGTTTGGCAAAGGTCTGAGACAAGTGGTGACTTATCACAAATATGTACTCAAAATGTCCTGGTGTGCACAGACAAAGTTTGAAATATGGATTATTACTATTTTGTCTGAAACTATATAAAGACAGTCAATATCAGAAACGAAACAACCAGATTTTCAAGTGTCTCAGTAAAAAACCTTACCCTTCCATTTGTTGTTTATATGTGACAACAAATCCATCCTTGTTTCCAGTAATCTGCTTGACATCCCAGCAATCCACATGACTTTTCGCAGCAGGTATATCAATCACGTCGTATAAGGGAAAACTCATTTTGCTGAGCTGAAAGTAAAACTTTAATTTATCATTTCATACTCTTTGTATAAAGCAAGACTGATCCATGCTTAATAATCCAAAGTAATTTATTGAAAAAAAGTCGGCCAAGTTTCAGTAGAAGAGATAGACGGGCGTTTCCATGTTTCATGGCAGCATCTGTGCTGGATAATTATGGTCACTTCCTGTTGTTAATTTAGGTGATTTATGAACAAAGCACTGCTGTAACAGGATAGCAAGAGCTGTATCAAGGGCTTTAAAACTGCTCATAACAATAAAGGTCCAAATAATCAAATATTGATACAATACTTTAGTATAAACAGTAATTGAGCTGGCCTACCCACTTTAAATACTTTGTTTGAGGTGGTCATATTCAAGCAAATTAAAAGAACTACCAGGACGACGTTCACAACAATTAACAAGTGAATATTTACACTCTTATATCCTACCCTATTTGGGTCCAACGCTTCATACGTTCCGTTTCCAGGACAAAGACTCGCAAACGATGTTGTTGCCACGAAGCAAACGAGAAGAACGTAGTAGCTCAGTGTTGCCATGTTATCCCACCTTGAATTTAAACTTCCAGCAGAACTCGGAACGTACTTTACTGTCACCTTTCCTTGCAAAAGTGATCCCTGTCACGCTGAACTGATAATTTTATATACAATTTTATCCTGTTTAATGTCAGATGTTAAATATCTATTCATATTTGGCCGAACACAAACGTTTTGGATACTGGAGATTATCTATAGTTTGAGACTGATCGTACATAAATTATTGCCAGACGAAACATAAACAAAATACAGGAGTGAAAAAAGTATGAAGACATATTGATCACCAACATACACATAGAATATAGATGTCTTCGAAAAGTAAAACATATGTTGAAAGGGAAACATATGTCCGCGTAGTCTTATAATATCACACATACAATTTTTCAGGGAAATATAGTAAATTATACACACTGCGCCCCCCTCTCCCACAGGTCCCGTGCAAGTTAAAGCGTGAATTATTAAATTTAATCATTATAACTTTTAATCATGTAGCCTATAGTAAGGTGACCATACTTCCTTCTTTTGAAGGATTTGTTCTCCTTTTTTGTTAAAAATTTTACGTCCTCCGAGGACGCTCTAAAAAGTCAAAATGTCCTCCTTTTTCACAGGATAAAATAATTGAAATTTTCTTATGATAAATTCAACAGTTTTTTGATGTTAAGAAAAGTTTTAAGTATGTAGAAGCCTACAATTATCATTACAAATAAGACAAGCAATGAATTGAGCTGAGATAGCATACGAAATTCGTTTAGGTCAGTGTTTTGACCCTGGGGTTCGGTGAAGTTGTTCGGAGATTCGTCAAAGGTCTTCTGGAACGGTTTTATATGATGAAACCTTTCCAGTACCCAGCCTACTATTTGAGGAAACATATCAAAATTGTGATAGTTCATTGAAGATATACAATATTACACGTTTAAACAAGTTGTAAAATAGATTACCTGGGTGTAGCTTTGCGCAGATATATTTGTTACTCCACATGTCAATGACTGTTACAATTTGAATTCAGTAGTGCATCACTTATGTGTATACCGGTACTGTTAATTGCACGTCAATATATCAATTAGGCTACTGACCTGCTCACGTGTGATTAGTGTTTTTCCTGAATATTGCTTTTATGAGTGTCCGCACACCGAATTTGCCGCCATGTTTTTGCGTTTGTTTGTATATTAAACCACTTATCACCTTTTCCGCAATGCCCAATCTAGCAATCAGTGTAGTTTTTTCATGGCTTGGTCTTTCTTAAAGCTTTCATGTCTTCGAGAGTATGACTATCGTCGCAAATTTATTACATTCCACTCCCCACATTATCTTTGCATGAGATTGTAGGTATTGGTCATTATCAACGTAATTGTTAAAAGAACGACAGCCCGCAAGTTTAAACACTATCGTGTATTTTGTTTGTTAAGTTTGGCCTAAGCCTCATTTGATTGGGCTTGGGTTTTTGTGTGCGTGCAGATTGGCAGGCACATGAGATATTTAAAACATGAGAAGTATAGGTGCTCCCGAAGTATGCGCACTAAGATGGCGCACAACCTCAACCCAGGTTGTGTACCAGGTTAGGGTTCAGGTTGTGCGACATTTTGATAAGCATACTTCGGGAGCACCTATACTCATGTTTTAAATTTTTTTATAGATTTTGCTTGCCCTCCAGAATTCTCCATTTTTAATTTATGTTTGTTATGGAGTTTCCGAAAGAAATTATCTATCTATCGTCACCGATGCTGCAGATGTTGTACGTTTTAGCAGTTTTAGATGCTTTCTGCTTATGTGCACAAAATATCTTGTTGTTGGTTGGTTGTTATGACAAACCTTGGCGTTTCAAGTTTTTGCATGCGCATCATCTCATTCTTAATCCTCTAATAAATTGTAGTTCATTTTTTCGAACAGGTTGAATGTGGGAAGTAAGTGTATATGTATATGAGTTGATATAAATGTTTACTTTCATTAAGTGATACATTTGTGGCAACTATAATTTCATTGAGAAGCTTTGCTAAATTATCATCCGTTCTGGACGACCTCAAAATGACGAGTCGTAGGTAGGCTTTGTCAATTTGGGCAAAAATCTGTGAAAAACGCTTTGATCCGCATTTGAATGCAATTTGAAGTTTGGAAAACAAACGACTTGAGCTACCAATATTTTTGAGGTATCCTATCATCTTCCGGATCTCCAAACTGCAATTTCTATACAACAAAAAATGGTTGCTGCAAAAATGGTGACACAACAATGACAATTTCCCGATCCGAAAAAGTTAAGAACCACTGCTGTAGGTGACGGGTGTGCAATCTTTATTACATGAGGGCCAGATACAAATAACTAGTGGAATTACTCGTACGTACCAGATTAAACTAAATTGACTAGTTCAGGGCTTCCCAAACTCGCGGCCCCTTTTAATATATTAAAATTTTTGATGTTTTATTTACACAGCTATATCTCAACTTTTAGTAGGCCTACTCAAGTACAAAAACAAGCACATATTTATTCAGATTAACGTTACTTAATTATTCAGTGTAATGGGTGGGAATACTTTTTGCTGCATAGCAAGTCCAGCCTTGGCTCAATGTTTGCTTATGCAGGCCTAAATGATGAATTACGATGTTCGGCCACCGACGGCATTGTTCACTCTTATTGATCTAACTTAGCAAAAGACAGCGGTTTGTGTGGCGCCAAATTATCATGGAAAAAACTCATGGCGCACCTACACAAAAAATATGCTACCTGATAATAAAACACAATTTTGTCATCGTTAATATGTACTTATCTTATCTCTGCCTGGTTTTTCCACTAAAATGCTAAAAAAATCACTCATGTTCAGCAAATGAATAAACTGCAGCCTGCGAAATTGCAGCATGTAGGATACCCGTAGGATAAGCGCTCCCCTTTAAAAAAAGACTTAGTCGATAGCGCATTTTTTTATCTAATCCCGTGGAAGTGCGTCGTTTCAATTTTGCTAGGACGTCGCAAAATTTCGTGAACCTTTCAAACAACCCGTATCTTCTACTTTTACAGAAAAAAGGGAAGATTATATCGATCTTACATGTGATGGTGTTACAATAAAAAAGTTTAATTCTGAAAATTCGGTTTTCTGTAGATAAAGATTATTTTTCTTGGGTCAAAAAGCGTTGAGGACTCCCATCCCCTTTGCGATTTCGTTTTTATATAAAGCAGACTTTTCTACCAAGGCCCATTAAATGTGATTTTACTGACTGTCGTTATGTTTTGTTTGTTCCTTTATATAAAACTCATTGCAAAAAAAGTCTTTTATTGAAAGGTATCAATACGTATTTTCACAGGTAGTCGTAAATTGAGCATATTTTTGGAGGGCGTCACAATACAATGAAGTTCGAGAACCACTGAGTCCTAGTCGATAGCAAGAAATTTCTACTCTTTATACTTTTTAATTTGTTAATAATCTATAAGTAGCAGTTATTTTAAATGAAGACGTGCTATTTTAAGTAATGGAAATCGGTATTCATATTTGGCATAATAAAAAAACTCGTTATTCTCTACATCCCCCCCAAATAAGCCCTAGTGTTATTTTCGAAATAAAATTGAAGACATTGTCTTATTTACACATAATGATGTTGTGTTCATTCGAAATCGTAAAATTTTTGTTTCTCATTATTTTTAATAATTGTATTTCGAATCAAGAGTCTGGAAAAGTACAATAGAGCGGCCCCTAAAATTCGTTTCGCGGCCTCTTAGAGGGCCGCGGCCCCTAGTTTGGGAAGCCCTGGACTAGTTAACTAGTTTAATGGGCCACACATTATTCAAAATTGCTTCCCCGGAGACCGCATAATTTTTTTGGGGGGGCCGCATTTAGCCCGCGGGATACACATCCCTGCTCTAAACGCATACCTGTTATGTATGCTCGTTTATCACGTAAAAATTGTATTGTTCTGCAATTATTTTTTACACTTCTTCATCTTGTATTTTGCAATAGAGTGAAGCTAAAGCGTTTTCTAAAGCGTCTTTCGTTAGTGTGGCTGATGAAAGCAAGCTTAACTCACAGTTGCACACTGAAAAGACAAACATGCATTATTGCATTGTCGCCATTTCGTCTATTGTCACTTCTATATGTAATCCTAGAGAATTTAGTAGATATATAATGTATATCTCAGGCACAGGTGTATCCTCCATTCAGGGTATATGTCCAGTGTGAATATTCTGTGTATGCAAAATTCGTTGTTGCAAGTTTCTTTGATCGTAATTTAGTACTTGGTAAAAAGTTGATAAAATGTGAATATTTTATTCAAAAGTTGATAAAATTCCAGGTTTTATTCTAATCGCTACATTGACTGGGACACGCTTACGCATAATGCTATACAATAGTTAAGGTCAACCCCGGTAACCATGATCGTGATATGCTATGGGAGTTGTAAATACACGACGTCACCATCAACAGAGCGACAATTTAAAGGCTACTGGTCAGTGGTTAGCGCTTTGGGTAAACATGTAATAAACTCGTATTTTGGTAATAGCTGCGTGTTCGTCGATTTCCTTACCCGTTTCTGTACAATAAATGGTATAATGTAAATAAATATTTGAGAATCTTTTTTATGGCCTTTCCGTGTTGTGCGTAACGTGTAAATTAGTAGTCTGTCTGCAACCCCATTCTAATCATTTTGACCGTTGTGTGAAGACAACTTCTACCACAGTGAAGTTACTTATGCCATCATAATAGATACAAACATGGTATTATACAGTATAATGATACCTATATATATATTATTTATATACACGTCTTGTCTCCTGTCGGACAGGTTGGGGATACTCTACAGATTTACAGCGTTTGATAAAATATCAACTGGCGACATTCATAGACTAGGTGACCGTACATTTGAACCCATGCGTATATCCACGGGTTCAATCTATATGCGGGTGCTAAAACCCATGGGTTAGGGTTAGTATGGGTTCAACTATCCGTGAAACAAAAAAAAATTCCATAGGTGCAATAGCATACAGGTGCAATTGTCATGGGTTCAAATGTACGTGGGTTCAAATGTAATGGAACCATAGATAATATGACAGACCATTGTTTGAAAACGTCAAAATGACGTCATTTAAGATTAACGTTATCAAGTATAAAATGGTTGTCTTCAGATGTGAGATGCCGTCAACTTGAATTGTAAAACAAACCTAACGACTAAAACAAAGGTCGATAGGAGACAAATAACGAGATAACCGTGTTCAAGAAATAGCTGTTTTTCCTATGTTACATGTTGGGTCGGTAATTTGATTTTGTTATATACTTGAGTTTGAAAAAGTGAACGGCGATCTTGCAATTTGCATTGGTTATGTATATGGCTCAATCGTATATCTATTTGGAGTTCCGAAACAGGGTCGGCCTTGTGCCTTATAGGGTTCTGTCTGGGTTTGAACTTCAACAATTTAGACCACACACAATTACCAGGATGTCGAATACAACTTACATTTCTATATAGCTTAATATTTGCGAAGTAATTTGACAGCAAACAGTAAAATATCATGAACACAAAACACTAAAGTTTTATCACTGTTCCTGCTTCCATTGATCTTTTTATTTTATGTTATAGTCATGCTTCTATAATATGCAAATTATATAAGAACCCGCTCCTAATTGAGTCTTGAATCACACAAGATTAGTACATATCTGTGACATCGGAATATGTCAAAAATTCATTACGACACAGTTATTTTATGGGTACTCCCGAAGTATGTTAACCAAGATGGCGGACACCGGAACGTAGTATGTGTACCAGGTTAGTGTTAGGCCATAATTTCAGGTACAAAAGCTACGGGAGTCACTTGGCAAATTTAAAAAAATTATCAAGTTCAACACACAAAACAACGATTGAATAACAATAACACGATCTAATTCTAATTGAGCCAGGTTCACATGGTCCACCAGGTTACAAAAATTTTAAACTTAAATTCTCTTATGCAAGCACACATAGCTCAATACTAATATATCTCCTTGCCTTTTTCACAAATAGTTTGTCCCTTTTTTGCCATATCCCATAAGTGCATTTTATATTCATATATTTACTAAGCATAGGATATTTCCGAATAGTTTTTTGCACGGAGTTTGTAATAATATATAATTAAATTAGATTTCTGGCCTTGGTTGCAGTATCGCATCAGTAGTGTTCTGGGTTGAAATAAAATTGACAAGTCAACTCTAACAGCCGCTTTGTACAGTCAATCTCTATCCATACCTTTCTTGTGATGTCATGTTTAGTGCTGTTCCATACTTGGCTTTGCGTAGATTCACTACTTTCTGATTATGACACTGAGTAGTTGCGATGACAATTTTATCCAAGCATGCACCTCGACTGAATAGAGCGATGCGAAGTGCAAACAATGGCACGTGTATATGAAAAACAATTATTTTTTTATGGAATGGCAATGGTTGATAACATCAAGGATGAAAGGAAAAAAGAGTTGACGTCCCTTTGTATAAATGCCAGTTTTGTCATTGTAGATGCATTCAAAGTCAGAGGTTACAGGAGAAGGTCGATTGGAAACTTTCCAGGGTGTTTCAATTTATTTATAAACATCAACAGTGCCTGGGAAAAGTATAACCCCATTGTTATAATGGCGTGGTTTGGTTAAGTTAGTCTTCTTAGAAGTAACATAATAAACCTGCTGTTGAATATGTAGTTGACGATAATTGGTAACCTACAGTTTTCTTTGCCAAATATACTGCCCACCCCGGTTAAAGGTGTTCAAGTGTGGTATTTGTAAAGACCTTCTTTACTCCATGCCGCCATTAAAAACCACACCGACTACCTATGCTCATGACATGCTCTATCCTATGATATGCTTTAATCCTACAAGCGGATAACCAATATGGAGGTAACTAATTTTGATCGCCTACGTTACATCAAGTTGTATAAAGAGACGGAAGCTTATGAGCAGAGGGTATATCCACTTGGCTAACACAGACAGTCCCCGAACTCGTAATAGAATTAAAATAAGGAAAATCGGAATACAATCATATCCTAACCCTAACCTGGTACAGCTGTTTAATATTACACTTTTCGAGAATAAACGTGAGTGTTTATCAGATAGAACATACTATTCGTGTGTATCGTAGGCTGCACCGAAACCACTTAAAGTTAGTCGTTGATTTATTGCCTGTCCCATTCTTAACTGATAAAGGTTTTGTCCAAAACTCGTGAACCGATACTGTATACCAATAGTCACTGTCCGTAGTTAAACCCAACATTAATTAACAGGCATCCTTTATTTTCAGTATCTGTAGGAATGAGGTTACTATTCTTTGCGCTACGTACATTTCTCCTACTAAGTTTGTTTTGTGCTCATTACCTATATGCCAGTGTTGGGTAGAAGTCCTTGGGTAGAAGGTTAAACAAGCGTTTTTTAAAAAATAAATCGAATTATCGAAAAACATGACTCGTTTCCGACTCGGGGCCTCCCCGAAACATAAATCTGATTCGAACATACTATATATATCGCAAGTGTAATATGCTTATCATGTATTTTATATCACTTGAATACAAATTAAATTAAACATTGAGAAACGTTCAATGACTGGAATCCATATAACTGTAATATAAATTACACAGGGCCCAAAAAGACCAGATTATTTTTGCCCAATGCTTTGCTTTGTTTCTTTTCTGCTTGTACAATATTCTTCCCATTCTGCTGTTGTTGATTCCCCATATTTTGCATATTCGTTCCAAATATCCACAACGTCTTTACCGCTAGGACGCATTCTTATGTGTTTCACAAGTCCGATTAGACCTATTCAATAAGTACAATAACCCAGAACATTGTCACAAAGTTTAAATTATTAGTACAAAATGGTTGGAATAAGTGATTGAAAACTAAAAATGTAAACTAAATATAAAGGAATATTATAACTCATAAACTTTATTAGATTTCACTCAAATATCGCTTCACAAGAGGCGATATAATTTATTGGTTAATTATCCCAACCTGCTTGCTTTACGGAAAAAAAAATTTAAAAAAAAAATTTATCTTCTGAACTTACGATTTCCTGGAGCACATGTACTCAAGATGAAATATTTATTGTAATCAGTCAGGAAGAAATAAGTCGATGCATATAGTTTATGAAGAGCTGAAATATCCAGAACAATTTAATTTATTTTCATAAACTCTAGGTTATAATGTCCCACATAGGGATACATATACAATGAAAACTATTGAAATTTAAATCGAATTCGCAACATTTTACAGTATCAGTCGCAGACCAAGGTAATTCAAAGGAAATAGTCTACTTTTCCGTGGGCAATTTGAGTGGGAAATTTATCCAGCATCGTGAAAATGTAATGTATTTCTCTGTTATCAGATAACTTTTAATTTACACAAACCAATTTTTTACTACGTTTGAATGTAACAGTAAGCATATAAGTTCATTTTACCATCTTCTACTTCTTGCAGCATTTTTTCATCGGCTTTGTGTTTCACAGATTCTTGAGAAGCTTCTATCACTTCTTGTTCTAAAACGAAGAAATGTAAATCTGCAATAAATTTACTATTGGGGGGATACGACAACCCAAGAGATAGATTTCAACATTCCAAAAAAATACAAATTTCAAAGCATGAGCAAATCACTCATATACCACCGCACAAGTTGAATGGAGTAATGAGAAATAATCTATCATTTAATTTGCAGCACGACATGGGCAGTCCTGGTATTTTATTGTATATAACCAATGCTTTACCAGAGTCGCTATAATATCAGTATCCTATTGCGCAGGTAGTCCAGGTGGACATCACTGCCGTGTCATACTTTGAGGAGCTCTCAAAATTAAATTCTATATAGTCGTGAAAATCAGTTTTGACAAATTCCTTTTAAAAAGTAATTTTTCATTTTTCAAACTCAAAGAATGTTAACAAATATTAACATTTGGGGGATTTCAAACAGGAAGACACAGTTAGTTGTTCCAAAGCAAAATTTCCGTCAAATCTTTCGCTAGGAGGTACGCTGTGCTTTCACTGTCTTCGAGATAATTTGGTTCATGGACATGGAGCTATGCAGTTCTAACGAGCTAACATGCCGTAACTAGATGAACTTACTGTTTTTAGAATTGACCTTATACGTTCCGTCTCCATTATGTACAAAATATACATCCACGTCGAACGAGTCTTCTGCTGGACGGCTAAAAAATAGGGCTGGGAATGGTTAACCGGTTAATCGATTTTAGATGGTTAACGGTTACGATTATTATAACCGTTAACTGACATCAGGTACAAATCATTTTTATAATGTACAATTACATATAAAATGATTAGTTCATCGCAAATTTATCACCTGTGGCGTTTATATCAAAAGAACACCACTAACTGTATTGTGGACCCAACAATTGTTACAATCGTGAAATTTGAAAACGATAAATTCAGAATCCATTTTTGCCCAAAATATATTGTTCCCGATTTCATTGCAAAATCGTATATTCAATGTCATCCAACAAGTGCGCAGTTGATGCTATTTTTTTTTTATGATATCTCAAAGTAAAATTGCTCATCGAACACTTAAAATTGGTCTGACGCGGGCTTGTGTTTCAAGAATTCAGACGTCAATTACTTTAAAAGTATGGGTTTGGCAACGGTTTGATAGGAATGGTGATTCATCACCATTAGAAGAAGTATGCCTATTTAACTGAAACTAGAGAAAAACAACGATATCAGAACTGAAATGAACAAATTTTCAAGCACCCCTAGAACAAAACCTCACCCTTCCACTTGTTGGGTGAATGTGAGAACAATTTCATCATTGTTTCCAGTAATCTCCTTGATATCCCAGCAATCAACATGACTTATCGCAGCAGGTATATCAATCACGTCGTATAAGGGATAACTCATTTTGCTCAGCTGAAAGTTAAGCCTCAATTTATCGTCTTATACCCTTTGTGTAAAGCACAACCATTATTTCAAAACTAACAAAAATTATCCTTAGGAAACGAGCGTGCATTCGCGTTTTTTGTATTTTTAGTGAAAATTGGAATAAATGAAGATATCTATCTGAGTTGGATAACCCTGGTAGCTTTCTATTGTTCTTTGTTTAAATATGTAAATCGGTTCAGAGATACCAAAAGTGCAGATGTTCCTATAAAATATTGCTTTTCCCCGACTAGTAATAAAAAAAATAAGGCATCTTGAAGGCTGCTCTCAAACAAAGCTATATAGTTTTATGAAGAACAATAATTCGGTATCGCCGATCCTGACACCCTGATTTGGATGACGAGGGCTTCGTTCGCAACCAACACAAGATAATATTTGCAATTTCATATCTTACCTTTGTTGGATCCAACGCTTCATATGTTCCATTTCCAGGACAAAGACTCGCAAATGATGTTGTTGCCACGAAGCAAATGAGAAGAACGTAGTAGCTCAGTGTTGCCATGTTATCCCACCTTGAATTTAATCTTCCAGCAGAACTCGGACGTACTTCACTGTCACCTTGCGTTGCAAAAGTGATCCCTGCCACGCTGGACTGATAATTTTATATACAATTTTATCCCGTTTGATTGTTAGATGTTAAATCTCTATATTCATATTTGGCCGAACACAAACGTTCTGGATACTAGAGATTATCTATGGTTTGAGACTGATCGGATATAAATTTTTGCCAGACGAAACATAAACAAAAACAAACTACAGGAGTGAGAAATGTGAGAAGACATTGATCACCAACATACACATGGGCGCGTTTGAACACTGAAATAAAGCATATGTTGAATTTGCTATGCGTGTTTCTTTGGTCTGGCTTCAGAATCACGCGGTCGTGCAAGTCTGTTGATCAGCGTAGTCTAATAATATCACATATTCGATTTTACAGGGAAATCTAGCAAATTAAACACACTGAGGCCCTCTTTTCCACAGGGCCCGCGCTAATTGAAGTGGAAATTCTTGATTTTAACCATTATAATATATATATATCTAATACGGTAGTTAAGTAGACATAGCGTGCTAAAAAAGCGACAGTTATGTAGACGAAAAAATTGTGTAGACATTTTCCTGTCCGCTTAATTATTCCACGTTCCATAATTAAAACGTTTTGCGATATTTTGCTGAAATCTTTTTTTCTCTGATAAAACAGTATCAAAAATAATATGTTCTTTCAATATTTTTTAAATAATTGCACATTTTCGCCAACTTTAATGGGACAGTAGTTCTGCTGGTTTATAATCCACGGGTTTAATTTTCGTACATAAAGTGGACATTTTATTTATGCAAAAATTTTTTAATTTTTCGGTATATGTTTTTACGATTTTTGGAGAGTAGGTTTGATAATTTTGATACAATAACCAGGCAGAACATGAAGATCGTCCGTTCTGTTTTTTGCAATATAAGCTCAATAAACTGAAAAGGACCTCAATTCACAACTCCGTACTAAAGAGGCTTTGTGTCGCAATAGTAAAACTGTCAGGTTCGCCGAGAACTTTACCACGTTTGCCGTTTTGTTCGCAAGTAACCTGGGCGCCGTGAGGGGATTGGGATCTTCATGAGTGCGTGATTGCCGAAATTTAGATAAAATAGAACAGTTGTGTTTGGAGAAGCGATCCAAGTCTTTTGTGTCAGGTGTTATCAGTTACCCAGTGAGTTGAAGTCGAGTCATAATAAGCAAGGATTTCAACGTCACCGAGGAATGCTGCTGGAAATCATCACTCATCGGATAAGGTGATTAGTCATAACGATTTTTAATATTAGGGTTACTATATTTTTGGTGTTGAGATTTTTCACGTAATCCAGATTATCAAAATATAGACTACTGATACTGTTATGCTTTTACTGGTCGTAGTTCTGATCTGACCATCAAAATAATGCTACGACTGGGTTTGCGTTTGTAAGAGTGTGTAATTCAGAAGGATTCCAAATCCAGATGAAAATATAAACGAAGATTGTGAAAATTCAATGAATTCAATTTTTTGTCGAAAAAGAAGGATATACGAGAAGCGAGTGGTTGACGTTTGTATAGTTTGGTGTAAATAAAAATATCTAATACACCGCTCCATATTGGATTAAAATATTTCATCTTCGGAAAACAGTTTTGAAGAATTGCAATGCTAGCAATTTTGTTTTGTGATTTGGCACATATCCCTGAGTTATGTTACCATCCTCATCTAGTTATTTCCTGGGCTGTATTTTTTGTTCACATTTAGGTGACTCTCCAACGAGATGGCCCACGTTTCAGAACATGGCAGACGGAAATGCGGGTAGTGATTCGGGGAAAGCTGTGCCAGGAGGTGACTAAATGGGTTTGCTATGCTTGTTTTTTTTATTAAATACAGTATCGTAAATTGATACCAATGAATGGTAATAAACCAAATCATAATATGATTTGTAGCCCATCACAAATAGCGCAGCTATCTACGAATAATTGTAGTGCACCTTTTGAAACTCTGGTTTATTTGAGTAATAATGCAATTATCCATTTCAAACATTTCGTTTGTTCGATCAATCAAGAGTAGCGTAATTCTGAATTGGACTAAAACACTGTGATGATGTTTTGTGACTTATGCATGTATTTTTGACCAAAGTTTCAGATAAGTCAACAGACTATACCGCACCATCTTCAGAATCACTTTCAATAAGCAATGTAAGTGATTTCAAAGAAAACCATATATATGGAAAAGAAAAAGGCTGTAAATCAATTAAAAAAAAAGCTTTTAAACAAACGCGAACCAGAAAAGAAACGACGAAAAGAAAAATATTTGCACGGATTGGTATATCTTGCGAGAAGTTTATTGTAAAGCTTTAAGACATCTCTGTATAATTCATAAAGATGAACCGGCAGTGAGCATAATCTTGTCTCTCCTCAACAACTTAACCTAGTGGGCATATCCACATTCGTATACATACTTGGCATACATTTTTACTATTTAATTATAAATTCAAAATAACAATCATGTTTTTGTATTCCGAGTTGGTGCATTGAGGTTCAATAATTTCATTTTGATCGCTTGTATAGTTGACTGTATATTCACTGCTATAATTAGGCGCCCTGATAGGTAGACATTTGAGTTATAACTGGTGTAATGCTTTTCATTTTAATTGACATGGCAAAATTTCGTTTCGCATTTATAGGCCCCACTGAAAAGTCACTTAATTGAACATTTGAGATATGTTGTGTATAATGTTTCTCGATATTTTATTCAGAATTTCGTGTTTTAATTATATACCCTCTGAAATGGTCGGATGCTTGAAATTTTTTTTTGAATGCTTCTCAATATTATTGCCATTCCAAAATATCATTTTGCATTTACATGACACACTTACGTAGCTGAGTAGGTTACGATTTGCGATTTATTTTCTGTTTTGTTTTTCAATATGGTTTCAAAATTTTGTTTTATAATATTTGTCACTCTCAAGTTATCGGATAGGTGAACATTAGAGATAAATTTTGAGCAATTTTCCACAACACCAAAATATGATTAGTATTCGAAATTTCGTATTTCAGGTAAATTTCACACACTTAAGTGTGTGAGATATATTTTGTGTAAGATTTCTCAATACGATTCCAGAATTTTGTTTTAATAGTTGTATGCCACACTTAGGTGGTCGGATATGCGGACATTTGAGATATATATTTTGTGTAATGTTACTCAATATTATTTCAGAATTTTCATTTCAATTTTTGTATGCCCCACTTAGGTGGTCGGATAGGTGGACATTTGAGATATACTTTGTGTAATGTTTCTCAATATGATTTCCGAGTTTTCATTGTGATTGTTTTATGCCACACTTAGGTGGTCGGATAGGTGGACATTTGAGATATACTTTATGTAATGTTTCTCAATATGATTTCAGAATTTTCATTTCAATTCTTGTATGCCACACTTAGGTGGTCGGATAGGTGGACATTTGAGATATATATTTTGTGAAATGTTTCTCAATATGATTTCAGAGTTTTCATTGTGATTGTTTTATGCCACACTTAGGTGGTCGGATAGGTGGACATTAGAGATATACTTTGTGTAATGTTTCTCAATATGATTTCAGAATTTTCATTTCAATTCTTGTATGCCACACTTAGGTGGCCGGATAGGTGGACATTTGAGATATATTTTTTGTAATGTTTCTCAATATGATTTCAGAATTTTCATTTTAATTCTTGAAAGCCACAATTAGGTGGCCGGATAGGTGGACATTTGAGATATACTTTGTGTAATGTTTCTCATTACGATTTCGGAATTTTCATTTTAATGTTTCATGCCACACTTAGGTGGCCGGATAGGTGGACATTTGAGATATACTTTGTGTAATGTTTCTCAATAAGATTTCAAGAGTTTTCATTTTGATTGTTTTATGCCACACTTAGGTGGTCGGATAGGTGGACATTTGAGATATACTTTGTGTAATGTTTCTCAATATGATTTCAGAAGTTTCATTTCAATTCTTGTATGCCACACTTAGGTGGCCGGATAGGTGGACATTCGAGATATACTTCGTGTAATGTTCTCAATATGATTTCAGAATTTTCATTTTAATGTTTAATGCCACACTTAGGTGGCCGGATAGGTGGACATTTGAGATATATTTTGTATGACGTTTCTCAATACGATTTAAGAATTTTCATTTTAATGTTTAATGCCACACTTAGGTGGCCGGATAGGTGGACATTTGAAATATACTTTGTGTAATGTTCCTCAATATGATTTCAGAATTTTCATTTCAATTCTTGTACGCCACACTTAGGTGGCCGGATAGGTGGACATTTGAGATATACTTTGTGTAATGTTTCTCAATATGATTTCAGAATTTTCATTTCAATTCTTGTACGCCACACTTAGGTGGCCGGATAGGTGGACATTTGAGATATATTTTGTGAGATGTTTCTCAATATGATTTAAGAATTTTTTTTTTCAATTGTTGTATGCCACCCTTAGGTGGTCGGATAAGTTGACATTTGAGATATATTTTGTGTAATGTTTATCAATATTATTGGAATGTCATAATTTTGACTTGGTATTGATATCTTGACACTCACAACATAGCATCTGTTTAATCCATATGTTACACCATAGGGTTGGAATAGGCGAACATTTGTGATATGCTCTGTGTATTTCTCAGTTTCAAATATATAACACGTTTGGATCAATTTGTTTCGATTTGTCTACCTTCACGTTGCATTTTGAGTATTTTTTGATATAGAAGAATATTTCCAAAACCAAACACAGTGCATCTCCCTTGCACGAAAGACGGAACATTGAAAAAGAAATGCTATTTTTTGTGATAAATATTGCTAAATCGTTCGAATCCATCGGAAATTGAAGCGAGGTCATACGCTTTAAAATGCGTATTAAAATAAAAGCAACAATCATTTATGTAGACATCCAGAGCGACATATAAGAGGGGTCCGGCTTAGTGCCGAAATATGCTAAAACATTTGGTGGTCTGAATTAAGTGGACGAATTAAGCGGACAAAAATTTTATATCTGTTATCGAGAGGATTATGTTGACTCTTTTTCTCCGTAGTTGTCAACGGCTCTCGCGCTCTCCAAGCACGTATTTAAAAACATTGATACGGACACAGGAACGACGTCCGCTCAAGTACTGCAATTATGGCAGGTCCGTTTAACTACCGTAATAGAGTTATATATATATATATATATATATATATATATATATATATATATATATATTAATGTATATATTAGTCTGTATGTTCTGTATACGTAAAAGTCGTTTTTGCAAGTTTCTTTGATCGTGATTTAGCACTTGATTTAAATTGAAAGTTAATAATAATCCAGTTATTCTTCTAATCTATACTCTGGCAAGGCCCCGCGCTGTCCATTACACATAAGGATTTACAGTAGTTGAGGTCATCCTTGGTTACCATGGATACTGGTTATGCGCTTTACGTGAACTTATAAATTCGTTTTTTTATAATAACGTTATGCCCGTCGATTTCCTTACAGTAGTTGAGGTCATCCTTGGTTACCATCGATACTGGTTATGCGCTTTACGTGAACCTATAAACTCGTTTTTTTTATAATAACGTTATGCCCGTCGATTTTCTTACCCGTTGTTGTAGATTAAAAAGAATAATATATTTCTTGAAACGATAAATATTTAAGCATCTTTTGCGGTATTTTGTGTTGTGTTAATTCGGTAATGTTCGCAATTGACTATTATTTTTCGTAAACTTATCTATTGCCTCTAACGGTATGATATGGCACTGTTCTCCGATGGTTGCCGACCACTGTTTCAAAGTACGTACAACGCTTGAAATATATTTTAACTAGATTTTTATTTTATTATTATTGTGATCTGTAAATTAGTAGCCTGTCTGCGACATTCTAATCATTTGATCTTTGTGTGAAGACAACTTCTATCACAGTGATTTATGCCATCATATTAGATACAAACATGGTAATATACTCTATACAGTATAATGATACTTCTATAAATATCATTTATATACACGTCTTGTCTCATGTCGGACAGGTTGGGGATACTTTACAGATTTAGAGCGTTTGATAAAATATCAACTGGCGACATTCATAGATAAGTATGACAGAGCATTGTTTGAAAACGTCACAATGACTTCATTTAGGTTTAACGTTATCAAGAAAAAATGGTTGTCTTCATATGTGAGACGCCGTTGACAAACCTAACGACTAAAACAAACATCGGAGGGAGACAGATAATTGAATAACCGCGTTTAAGCAATAGCAGTTTCTTCTGAGGTACAAGTTGGGTCGGTTTTTTGATTTTGTCAGATACTTGAGTTTGAAAAAGTGGACGGCGATCCTGCAATTTGCATTGATTGTGTATATGGCTCAATCGTATATCTATTTGGAGTTCCGAAGCAGGGTCGCCCTTCGTGATTTATAGGGTTCTGTCTGGGTTTGAACATGAAGAATTCAGGCCACTCACAATTACCAGAATGTTTTATAGGTTGAATACAACTCACATTTCTATATAGCTTAATATTTGCGTAGCAATTTGACAGTAAAATGTCATGGACACAATATACTAAAGTTTTATCACTGTTCCTGCTTCTATTATTCTTTTTATCTGAAATATTATGTAATAGTAATGTTTCAACAATATACAAATTATTTGAGGGCCTCGTCCCAAAGTAAGTACCAAATGAAACAAGATAAGTACATATATCCGTGGCATTGGAATATGTAAAAAAAATCATTGCGACACAGTTATTTTATGAGCTAATTAAAAAAATTATCAAGCTGAACTCCCAAAACAGCGAATGAATAACCATAACACGATCTAATTAAATTGAGCCAGGTTCACATTGTCCACCAGGTTACAAAAACTGTAAACTAAAATTATCTTAGTACATAGTTCAATACAAAGTTATCTGTATGCTTTTTTCTCGCAAATAGTTTGTCCCTCTTTTGCCATATCTAATCAGTGCATTATTATATTTGATTAGGTTCATGGTATTTGTTGTTTTTACAGTATTGAAACAGTAGTGTTCTAGATTGGAATAAAATCGGCAAGTCAACTCTAACAGCCGCTTTGTACGGTTAATCTCTATACATAACTTTCTTATGATGTCAGATTTAGTGCCGTTCTAGACCTTCTGATTATGGCAATGGTTGATAACGACAAGGATGAAAAAAAAAGATTGAAGTCCCTTTGTATAAATGTCAGTTTTGTCACTGTAGATGCATTCAAAGTCAGAGGTTACAGAAGAAGGTCGATTGGAAACTTTCCAGAGTGTTTCAATTTATTTATAAACATCAACAGTGCCTGGGAAAAGTATAAACACATTGTTATAATGGCGTGGTTTGGTTAAGTTAGTCTTCTTAGAAGTAACATAATAATCCTGCTGTTGAATACGTAGTTGACGAAAATTGGTAACCTACAGTTTTCTTTGCCAAATGTACCGCTCACCCCGGTTAAAGGTGTTCAAGTATGGTATTTGTAAAGACCTTCTTTACTCCATACCGCCATTAAAGACCACACCGACTACCTATGCTCATGACATGCTCTATCCTATGATATGCTTTAATTATGTAAGCGGATAAGATAAATGAACAACTGCTAGCAATATTTTTTAATAAAAATTTGGGCGCTCCAGAAGTGTGTAACCAACCTGTAGGTAACTAATATCGATCGCCTACTTTACATCAAGTTGTGTGAAGAGACGGAAGCTTATGAGCAGAGGGTATATCCACTTGGCTAACACAGACAGTCCCCGAACTCGTAATAGAACTAAAATAGGGAAAATCGGAATACAATCATAGCCTAACCCTAACCTGGTACAGCTGTTTATTATTACACTTTTCGAGAATAAACGTGAGTGTTTATCAGATAAAATACTATTCGTGTGTATCGTAGGCTGCACCGAAATCACTTAAAGTTAGTCGTTGACTTATTACCTGTCCGTAGTTAAACCAAACATTAATGAACAGGCATCCTTTATTTTCAGTATCTGTAGGCATGAGGTTACTATTCTTTGCGCTACGTACATTTCTCCTACTAAGTTTGTATTGTGCTTATTACCTATATGCCAGTGTTGCGTAGAAGTCCTCTGAATGCCGAGTCGCGAGTCCGATCAAGTGTCGGTCAAGCCGAGTCGTCGATGGCTCAATATGGTGGCTCGATGGCTCACGGAAGGTTAAACAAGCGTTTTTTTAAAAATGAATCGAATTATTGAAAAACAAGACTCGTTCCCGACTCGGCTCCTCCCCCAAACATAAATCTGATTCGAATATATATATCGCAAGTGTATTATGCTTATCATGTATTTTATATCACTTGAATACGAAGTAAATGAAACATTGAGAAACTTTCAATGACTGAAATCCATATAACTCTAATAGAAATTAAACATGGCCTAAAAGACCAGATCATTTTTGCCCAATGCTCTGCTTTGTTTCTTTTCTGCTTGTACAATATTCTTCCCAATCTACGGTGGTTGATTCGCCATATTTTGCAAATTCGTTCCAAAGATCCACAACGTCTTTACCGCTAGGACGCTTTCTCGTGTGCTTCACAAATCCGATTAGACCTATTTAATAGGTACAATTACCCAGAACATTATTACAAAGTTCAAATTATCAGTACAGAATGATTACAATAAGTGAATCAAAATGCAAATTAAATATCAAAGAAAATTATAAATCATAAATTTTAACTAGATTTTCATTTGAAATATTGCTGTAAACAAGGCACCAGGCAACAAGCTGTTTGTTTGGCAGAACTTCCTCTTATTGTTACACTGTCAAGTGAGATATAATTTAAAGCTCATCCCCCAACTTGCTGAAATTCAAATTAACCGTGAAAGCTTTTACGTTGTGTTTTAATCTCTATATGGCACGTATATGGTTTAATTAAAAAAGGCAACTGATATTCCAAACTTACGATTTCCTGGAGCACAGGTACTCGAGATGAGGTATTTTTTGTAATCAGTCAGGAAGAAATAAGTCGATGCAAATAGTTTATTTCGAGCTAAAATATTCAGAACAATTTAATTCATTTACATATAGATAAACTCATCTCGGTTATTCTGTATTTCCACATTGTGATACATATACAATGAAACTATTGAAATTTAAATCGAATGTGCAACATTTTACAAAATCATTTGTAGCCCAAGGTAATTCGAAGAAAATAGTCTACTTTTCCGTTGGCGATTTGATTGGAAATACTTATCCAGCATCGGGAAAATGTAATGTATTTCTCTGTTATCAGACAACTTTTAATTTACACCAAACCAATTTCTCACTACGTTTGAATGCAACACTAAGTATATAATTGCATTTTACCATCTTCTACTTCTTGCAATATTTTTTCATCGGCTTTGTGATTAACAGATTCTTGAGAAGTTTTTATCACTTCTTGTTCTAAACAGAGAATGTAAATCTGCACCAAATTTACTACCGGGGGATACGACAAAAATAGACAGATTTCAAAATTCCAAAGAATTACAAATTTTTAAGCACTAACAAAATGATTTTCTCACTAATACCACCGCACAAGTTGAATGAAGTTGTAAGAAATATTCTCTCATTTAATTTGAGTTGTTCGACTCAGCACGGCATGGTCAGTCCTGGTATTTTTTTGTATATAACCAATGCTTTATCAGAGTCGGTATAATATCAGTATCCGATTGTACAGGTATAGTCCAGGTGGACATCACTGCCGTGTGAATACTTTGAGGAGCTCTCAAAATTGAATTCCAAAGTCGGAAAAATCAGTTTTGACAAATTCCCTTGAGAAAATAATTTTTTAAAATCAAGAAACGTTAAGAATATTTATATTCCACTTAGGGGATTTCAAACAGGAAGACCAGTTAATTGTTTGAAAGCAAAATGCCCGTCAAACCAAATGTCAGAAGAAGGTACGTTTTGCTTTCACTCGCTTCGAGTATTTTTGTTTATGAACATGAAGCTATGCAGTTCTGAAAAGCTAACGTGCGGTAAAATGTGAACTTACTGTTTTTAGGATTGAGCTTATACGTTCCGTCTCCATTATGTACAAAATATAAATTGAAGTCGAGCGAGTCTTCTGCTGGACGACTTACAAACAATATCAAACGTAAGTTTGGGGCTAACTTGGTCAGGCGCGGTTTTGAGAATTCAGACTCCAAATACTTTGAGAGTATGGGTTTGGCAAAGGTTTGAGACGAGCGGTGACTTATCACAAATATGTACTCAAAATGTCCTGGTGTGCACGGAAGAAGTTTGAAATATGAGATTATTACTATTTTGTCTGAAACTATATAAAGACAAACAACAATATCAGAAACGAAACAACCAAATTTTCAAGTGCCTCAGTAAAAAACCTTACCCTTCCACTTGTTGAGTATATGTGACAACAAATCCAACCTTGTTTCCAGTAATCTGCTTGACATTCCAGCAATCCACAAGACTTTTCGCAGCAGGTATATCAATCACGTCGTATAAAGGAAAACTCATCATATAAGCGGATAAGATGAATGAATAACTGCTAACAACGTTTTTTAATAAAAATTTGGGCGCTTCAGAAGTGTTTAACCAATATGTTGGTAACTAATTTTGATCGCCTACTTTACATCAAGTTGTGTAAAGAGACGGAAGTTATGAGCAGAGGGTATATCCACTTTGCTAACACAGACAGTCCCCGATTTCGTAATAGAACTAAAATAAGGAAAATCGGAATACAATCATAGCCTATAACCCTAACCTGGTACAGCTGTTGGATATTACACTTTTCGAGAATAAACGTGAGTGTTTATCAGATAGAACATACTATTCGTGTGTATCGTAGGCCGCACCGAAATCACTCAAATTTAGTCGTTGATTTATTGCCTGTCCCATTTGTAACTGGTAAAGGTTTTGTCCCAAACTCGTGAACCGATACTGTATACCAATAGTCACTGTCCGTAGTTAAACCCAACATTAATGAACAGGCATCCTTTATTTTCAGTATCTGTAGGCATGAGGTTACTATTCTTTGCGCTACGTACATTTCTCCTACTAAGTTTGTTTTGTGCTCATTACCTATATGCCAGTGTTGGGTAGAAGTCCTCTGAATGACGAGGCGCGAGTCCGATCAAGTGACGGTCAAGCCGAGTCGTCGATGGCTCAATATGGTATCTCGATGGCTCACGGAAGGTTAAACAAGCGTTTTTAAAAAAAAATAAATCGAATTATTGAAAAACAAGACTCGTTTCCGACTCGGGGCCTCCCCGAAACATAAATCTGATTTGAACATACTATATATATCGCAAGTGTAATATGCTTTTATCATGTATTTCACATCACTTGAATACGAAGTGAATGAAACATTGAGAAACGTTCAATAACTGGAATCCATATAACTCTAATATAAATTAAACATGGTCTAAACGACCAGATCATTTTTGCCCAATGCTCTTCTTTGTTTCTCTCCTGCTTGTACAATATTCTTCCCATTCTGCTGTTGTAGATTCGCCATATTTCGCATATTCGTTCCAAATATCCACAACGTCTTTACCGCTAGGACGCATTCTTATGTGCTTCACAAGTCCGATTAGACCTATTTAATAAGTACAATAACATAGAACATTGTCACAAAGTTCAAATTATTAGTGCAAAATGGTTGGAATAGGTGAATGAAAAATAAAAATGTAAACTAAACATAAAGGAATATTATAACTCATAAACTTTGATTAGATTTCACTTAAAATATCGCTTTACAAAAGGCGATATAATTTATTGGTTAATTATCCCAACTTGCTAGGTTCATTTTTAGAAAAAAAAAAAATCAAAAAACAATTAATTTTCTGAACTTACGATTTCCTGGAGCACATGTACTCAAGATGAAATATTTATTGTAATCAGTCAGGAAGAAATAAGTCGATGCATATATTTTATGAAGAGCTGAAATATCCAAAACAATTTAATTCATTTCCATAAACTCGTCTAGGTCATTATGTTCCACATAGTGATACATATACAATGAAAACTATTGAAATTTAAATCGAATTTGCAACATTTTACAGTATCAGCATCGTCCAGCATCGTGAAAATGTAATGTATTTCTCTGTTATCAGATAACTTTTAATTTACACAAACCAATTTCTCACTACGTTTGAATGTAACACTAAGCATATAATTGCATTTTACCATCTTCTACTTCTTGCAGCATTTTTTCATCGGCTTTGTGTTTCACAGATTCTTGAGAAGTTTCTATCACTTCTTGTTCTAAAACGGAGAAATGTAAATCTGCAATAAATTTACTATTGGGGGATACGACAAGCCAAGAGATAGATTTCAACATTACAAAAAAATACAAATTTTAAAGCATGAGCAAATCACTCATATACCACCGCACACGTTGAATGGAGTAGTGAGAAATAATCTCTCATTTAATTTGCAGCACGACATGGGCAGTCCTGATATTTCATTGTATATAACTAATGCTTTATCAGAGTCGGTATAATATCAGTATCCGATTGCGCAGGTAGTCCAGGTGGACATCACTGCCGTGTGAATACTTTGAGGAGCTCTCAAAATTGAATTCTATATAGTCGTGAAAATTAGTTTTGACAAATTCCCTTCACACTCAAGGATTGTTAACAAATATTAACATTTGGGGAATTTCAAACAGCAAGACCCAGTTAGTTGTTCAAGGACAAAATTCCCGTCAAATTTTTCTCTAGGAGGTACGCTGTGCTTTCACTGGCTTCGAAATAATTTTGTTCATGGACATGAAGCTATGCAGTTTTAACGAGCTTCTAACGAGCTAACATAACTAAGTGAACTTACTGTTTTTAGGATTGACCTTATACGTTCCGTCTCCATTATGTACAAAATATACATCCACGTCGAACGAGTCTTCTGCTGGACGACTAAAAAATAGGGCTGGGAATGGTTAACCGGTTAACCGATTTTAGATGGTTAACGGTTACGATTTATTATAACCGTTAACTGACATCTCAGGTACAAATCATCTTTATAATGTACAATTACATAAAAAATGATTAGTTCGTCGCAAATTTATCACCTGTGGCTTTTAATTCAAAAGAACATCACTAACTGTATCGATAAGGACCCAACAATTGTGAAAATTGTTACAATTGTAAAAATTTGAAAACGATGAATTCAGAATCAATTTTTGCCCAAAATATATTGTTCCCGATTTCATTGCAAAATCGTATATTCAATGTCATCCAACAAGTGCGCAGTTGATACTATTTTTCTTTATGATATCTCAAAGTAAAATTGCTCATCGAACACTTAAAATTGGTCTGACGCGGGCTTGTGTTTCAAGAATTCAGTCGTCAAATACTTTAAAAAGTATGGGTTTGGCAACGGTTTGAGAAGAATGGTGATTCATCACAAATATATCGTATATTGCGTGGCAGTAGAATTCACTTTTAATTCTCTGAATACAAACTATTTTTTCCTCAAATGTCCTAGTGTTCAGAGAAGAAGTATGCCTATTTAACTGAAACTACTGAAAGACAACGATATCAGAACTGAAATAAACAAATTTTCAAGCGCCCCTAGAACAAAACCTTACCCTTCCACTTGTTGAGTAAATGTGAGAACAATTTCATCATTGTTTCCAGTAATCTCCTTGAGATCCCAGCAATCAACATGACTTATCGCAGCAGGTATATCAATCACGTCGTATAAGGGATAACTCATTTTGCTCAGCTGAAAGTTAAACCTCAATTTATCATCTTATACCCTTTGTGTAAAGCACACCCATTCTTTCAAACTAACGAAAATCATCCTTAGGAGACGAGCGTGCATTCGCGTTCTTCGTATTTCTAGTGAAAATTGGAATAAATGAAGATATCTATCTGAGTTGGATAACCCTGGTAGCTTTCTATTGTTCTTTGTTTAAATATGTAAATCGGTTCAGAGATACCAAGAGTGCAGATGTTCATATAAAATATTGCTTTTCCCCGACTAGTAATAAAAAAATAAGGCATCTTGAAGGCTGCGCTCAAACAAAGCTATATAGTTTTATGAAGAACAGTAATACTTTATCGCCAATCCTGACACCCTGGTTTGGATGACGAGGGCTTCGTTTGCAACCAGCACAAGATAATATTTGCATTTTCATATCTTACCTTTGTTGGGTCCAACGCTTCATATGTTCCATTTCCAGGACAAAGACTCGCAAACGATGTTGTTGCCACGAAGCAAACGAGAACAACGTAGTAGCTCAGTGTTGCCATGTTATCCCACCTTGAATTTAATCTTCCAGCAGAACTCGGACGTACTTTACTGTCACCTTGCGTTGCAAAAGTGATCCCTGCCACGCTGAACTGATAATTTTATATACAATTTTATCCCGTTTGATTTTAGATGGTAAATATCTATATTCATATTTGGCCGAACACAAAACGTTTCGGATACTAGAGATTATCTATGATTTGAGACTGATCGGATATAAATTATTGCCAGACGAAACATAAACAAAAACAAACTACAGCCGTGAGAAATACAAAAAGCTATATTGATCACCAACATACACATGGGCGCGTTTGAACTGAAATAAAGCATATGTTGAATTTGCTCAATGCGTTTTTCTTTGGTCTGGCTTCAGAATCACGCCGGTCATGCGAGTCTGTTGATCAGCGTAGTCTAATAATATCACATATACGATTTTACAGGGAAAGCTATCAAATTAAACACACTGAGCCCCTCTCTTCCACAGGGCCGCGCTAATTGAAGTGAAAATTATTAATTTTAACCATTATAATATATATATATTCATGTATAGCCCAGTCTGTATGTTCTGTGTACGTAAAAATCGTTTTTGCAAGTTTCTTTAATCGTGATTTAGTACTTGATTTAAATTAAAAGTTAATAATAATCCAGTTATTCTTCTGATCTCTACCCTGGCAAGACCACGCGCTGTCCATTACACATAGTGATTTACAGTAGTTGAGGTCATCCTTGGTTACCATGGATACTGGTTATGCGCTTTACGTGAACTTATAAACTCGTTTTTTTTATAATAACGTTATGCCCGTCGATTTCCTTTACCGTTGTTGTAGATTTAAAAGAATAATATATTTCTTAAAAACCATAAATATTTAGGCATCTTTTGCGGCATTTTGTGTTGTGTTAATTCAATTATGTTCGCAATTGACTATTATTTTGCGTACACTTATATATTGCATCCAACCTAACAGTATGATATTGCAGTGCTCCCCGATGGTTGCCGACCACTGTTTCAAACTACGTACAACGCCTGAAATATACTTTGACTAGATTTTTATTTTATTTTTATTGTGATCTGTAAATTAGTAGCCTGTCTGCGACATTGTAATCATTTTGACCTCTGTGTGAAGACAACTTCTATCACAGTGATTTATGCCATCATAGTAGATACAAACATGGTATTATACAGTATAATGATACTTATATATATATTATTTATATACACGTCTTGTCTCATGTCGGACAGGCTGGGGATACTTTACAGATACACAGCGTTTGATAAAATATCAACTGGCGACATTCATAGATAATTATGACAGAGCATTGTTTGAAAACGTCACAATGACTTCATTTAGGTTTAACGTTATCAAGAAAAAATGGTTGTCTTCATATGTGAGACGCCGTCGACAAACCTAACGACTAAAACAAACATCGGAGGGAGACAAATAATTGAATAACCGCGTTTAAGCAATAGCAGTTTCTCCTTAGGTACAAGTTGGGTCGGTTGTTAGATACTTGAGTTTGAAAAAGTGGACGGCGATCCTGCGATTTGCATTGATTGTGTATATGGCTCAATCGTATATCTATTTGAAGCAGGGGCTATCTAGAGCTATCTATTTCCGAAGCAGGGTCGGCTTTTTAGGGTTCTGTCTGGGTTTGAACATGAAGAATTCAGGCCACTCACAATTACCAGAATGTTTTATAGGTTGAATACAACTTACATTTCTATATAGCTTAATATTTGCGAAGCAATTTGAAAGTAAAATGTCACGGACACAATATACTAAAGTTTTATCACTGTTCCTGCTTCTATTATTCTTTTTATCTGAACTATTATGTAATAGTAATGTTTCAATAATATACAAACGAGAATATCAGCGCTCTTACTCCATAGTGACACCTTGTGTCCCATCACTAATTAATTAATAACTCGCTAATTATACGACTTAGTTCATTCAAAGTCAATAGGCTTCTGGTCCGACATATGATGAATGCACAAGCAAAATCTGGAGCAGATTCAATCTCGCTTTCGTGAGATATCGCGTGCATCAAACAGACAAATACCTATCAACATACTGATTATTTGCGGGCCTCGTCCCTAAGTAACTACCAAATGAAACAAGATAAGTACATATATCCGTGGCATTGGAATATGTAAAAAAAATCATTGCGATACAGTTATTTTATGAGCCAATTAAAAAAATTATCAAGCTGAACTCCCAAAACAGCGAATGAATAACAATAACACGGTCTAATTAAATTGAGCCAGGTTCACATTGTCCACCGGGATACAAAAATTGTAAACTAAAATTATCTTATACGAGCGCTCATAGTTTAATACAAAGTTATCTGTATGCTTTTTCCTCGCAAATAGTTTTTCCCTCCTTTTTCATATCTAATCAGTGCATTATTATATTTGATTAGATTCATGGTATTTGTTGTTTTTACCGTATTGAATCAGTAGTGTTCTAGATTGGAACAAAATCGGCAAGTCAACTCTAACAGCGGCTTTGTACAGTCAATCACTATCCATAACTTGCTTATGATGTCACATTTAGTGCCGTTCTATACTTGGCTTTGCGTAGACTTTCTGAATATGGCAATGGTTGATAACGACAAGGATGAAAAAAAAGGGTTGACGTCTCTTTGTATAAATGCCAGTTTTGTTATTGTAGATGCATTCAAAGTCAGAGGTTACAGAAGAAGGTCGATTGGAAACTTTCCAGGGTGTTTCAATTTATTTATGAACACCAACAGTGCCAGAGAAAAGTATAATTACAATATTATAATGACGTAGTTTGGTTAAGTTAAACTTCTTAGAAGTAACATAATAATCCTGTCTTTTGTTCATTTGCAGTCATATTGAAATATCAATTGTTAGCTGAGCATATTTGAAAAGTGTATACGAAATGGCATGCACAAAAATTTGCTTGTGTATCTTGATTCTTTTTAGTATTATATCATGCTCATCTTCGGAAGTAATAGCAAAAACTGGGCGTGAATATCGGTAAGTATTCATTGTTGTTTACTACTACCTTGTAATTTTACATCACTGGATATGATTGCCATTTCCATTTTCCAACTCTTATATTACTGTATTATTTTGGACGTTTTTTTATCGCGGGGACTAGTTCACGGTTGCATGTTATAAAATGGTATTAAAATTCAATGAATTTTATACAGCTCACATCGATTGGCAATTAACGGATATTTGAAATTTCGTTTAGTTCATTTCACTAAAATGAACATATAGTGAAATAAAATGATAAAACAAAATTTCTCATCAAAGAAAAACAGACAATTTTTAATATATTTTGGGAAATATTATTCAACGCCCTCAAAATATACCTATTTATTCAAAGCGTTTGAAAAGTGATCAGATTGGGTATGACAATTATCATTGACAATATCTTTAGTAAAAAATCTGGTCTCATAGTTATTTTATACTCATTCGTATTCAACAGTGGTCAGCAAATTGTTCAAGTGATACCCGAATAGTAAAATGGAAAAGGATTCATTTCGTTGGAATTTTTAGATTTATTTAGTTGAAATGAACATAACATACGATCGTTGGAAATATAATCAAAAACATTTAGTAAAAAAGTTATATGTAATGTTGGATTCATATAATTTTCTCGTGTATAATTGCCATAATTGTAATTTATTGGAGGCCAACTAGAAAATGCCCGGGGCCAACTATTGGGTCGCGGCCCACTGATGTTCAAATAAATCTCATAAATTTTAAATACTTTCTTCAATTTTATAATTAGTTCCTCAATATTTTTGATTCATTCATTCCAAAGTATTTTATTTGTTAAAATTTTGCAAATACTTTGAAAAACAATTTGATATAAACCGACTGTCTTCGTCGTATTAGGTTCCATGTTTATGATAAAATTCTCAGATACGACAATATAGCGAGTTGGACTTTGTTTATGGCTTGCAATACACATCCGAAAAATAATTTGAAGATTCATAATTATCCTTCTTACATTTGTCTACGTACGATATCTTTTAGGAAATTGTATCCTAGACGTCGTGGAATTTCTGGAATTCAGTCAACATTGTCATATTCAAGACATTCAAGGAGCCCTGATTTACGACGTCGACCTCGTGGTGTGTATGATAATTTACATATATCGTAGATAGTAGAAAAACACTGATATTTCACTGTAGTTAACCAGTCATTTGCCCATATTACTAACTTGGCGATGCGATGCCTTAATTTATAAAATTTTTATCTCAGTATAATATAAATGGTAGATGTATATATATAGGCACTTCAAAATATTCTAATCCTTGGAATCCGCTCTAAAGAAGTTATTTTACTAAACCAAAAAAGGTAAATTGGGTTCCAAAAATTATCGATCGAATATCAAAATGGCGAATGCCCAATATCTTTAGATATTGATACCTCAAGTAGTTTTTTATTTTTTTTATTTAAGATTACGGTGCGGAAACACATTTCTTTTATTCTGAATCAATTAAACATGTTTTTTTTTTCATGCGTTCATTACTAACCACAAACAGTTTCTATTTTAGCATTCCCTAGAATTAGTCGCTACAGAAGCGGATATTTCCCGGGATCTCCGATTCGACGAAGCCTTTTGCATGTTCGACACCAACCTCAACAAGCAATCTTGGCAAGACCTACATCTATGACACACAATTACACGAGCAATCCTCGTACGGATGGCACCAATTTTTATCAAAAATCAAGGAAATTTTCTCAAACAAAAGCCGGAAATAATCGAATGAGAAACAACATTTCAAGACCGAAAAAATCAAATCCCACAACTTCTCTTACGAGACAGAGAAAATATCTCATAAACAAATGTAAAAATATCAAAATTGGAAAATGCTGCCAAGGATGGAGTCACCATGCTTTGACGGGCTATTGTCTACGTGAGTATGAATTAGCCATTCGACACAATTTATTGCAGCAATAGTCTGTTGTATCTCTCCCCCAATTGCCTCGTTTGTGGCTCAATTACAATTGTATCGTTTTGAGAGTAATCACATCAGAACATTCCGTTATTTATAGCCACCTCTTGTGAAAGCGTTTTGAATACAATCTCAAAACACAATATTGTCCAATTTTGATATAAATATTTTTTTTATTTAATTTTGATGATTTGAATCTATTATTTCGAGTATCCTGAATCAAGCTCTTCAAATTTATCGCCAAGCTTTAACATATCTATATGTACACTATACTCCAAACGAATGAACTTCAATACTGAGTGTGTAGTAAGCAACCTTCGCTTTTACACAACTCAGCTATAATTTAGTCTTTTATTTGAACATGACCGGTACAGTGAATGCAGCGAAATGTTAGGTCGCATTTTGATGGCGATTTGTTGGTAATGACCATCATGATATCACTTAACGTATATAAATTTTTCGATTGCAACTATCAGATTTAAAACAATAATTGAGAATCATTAACTCATTTCAGCATCTTGCTCCGAATCATGCGTCCATGGAACGTGTGAAAACAGCCATACATGTAAATGCAGAAATGGGTTCCTGGGACCGCTGTGCAACATAGGTATAATTATATTTTTTTTATTGAAGACACATTTTAAAATATTCCATATCCGTAGCACAAATTTTTGCACTAATACTGGTTTTAACAAGGTGACCATTCCATACTCCAGTTAACGTCTTGTTTGGCGAAATCTGATGAGGCTACATACTTATTACGTCCCTTTAGAAATGACAAAAATCGATGTCCCGATCAAAATAAAATTCCCTTGACTAATGTTGAGTGGAAATCCATAAACCCCAAGTCGCGAGTCAAGTTGAGTCACTTTTGATATGTCCATAAGATCACTGAGACATTGAATATTAAATTCATGCAAACTCTGCAGTTGATTATTCCATAACACATTTTAACATACAAATTAAAAGGCGCTCCCGAAGTATGTGCACCAAGATGGCGCACAACCTGAAACCTAATCTGGTACACATACTATGTTCAGGTGGTGCGTCATCTTGGTGCACATACTTCAGGAGGTCCAATTAAAATATAAAAAATAAGGACTCCTCTCAACCCCCAAAGGCTACTTTATCACATTGTTGAAATTTTTATTCATATGTATTAGATGAAAACGAATGCGCAAAAGATGTTTGTGAACATGGGTGCTTGAATACGTACGGCAGTTATAAATGCATCTGTGATGAAGGATTCCTGATGCAAAGTGATGGAAGTTGCAAAGGTAATTTTTTGAATGAGATTATTGTATAGTCACAATGTTCCTTTTTAATTAACTTATAATCATTTTTATATGCCTGCATTTTTTGCATGAACTTCGATAATAAACCTGTATTTTGATGCCTTCAAGTTTTATTTGTTTGTTATTATTTTTGTCTATCTTTTCTTAAAACCTTGTTTGATAATATATTTCAGAAATACCACCATGTGAATTGAAACAGTGTGAATATAAATGTTATGTGGATAGCGGAGACGCCAAATGCGTTTGCCCGAGAGGCTACCGGATATCTGAAGATGGTAGAAACTGTAAAGGTTAGTGATGAATGCTGGTATTATTATCATTCGTCCTTCAGTACAATGCAATACCATATTTTTCCGGGCAATTATGTAAGGAAATTATGTATAACGTACTGTAAGGGGGCGCTGTACAAAAAACGCCAATTATCACGATATTCCAAGAACGGGATCGTGCCTATTCGTGCGAATCCCACCAATACCTTTCAGTACCCGTTTCGATATAGTATTTAAATATATTGACCAAGAGCTTCTTTAACTTTTTAAAATACTCCAATTCCAATCAATGTTATTATTCTCAAATACCTATGCTTCCGCTCCAGTTACTCGACCATAAATACACCGCGTCACAACAGAGTCAATGTAATCTTTCATATCTTGAAAGCTCAAGAGTCACAAATCCCAGTTGCCTGTGTTATATTGACACAAAATCTCAACCAAGTGTCTCTCAACTACGTTATGTCACAATATACTTCCCATTTAATTGACGAGCTTGAAGGTTGTTCCTTCACGATAGATTAATTGAGCTACTGACGCCAGGCCAACTGATCTTTGTTGTTGGTTGGATTACGTGTTTGATTTTCAACATGTTTCCGGGATTAACTAAAGCTAAATATATATAAGATACGATGAGTAGTTATATCTATTTATCTTATACTATATGTAACGGAGTAAAGTGTTTTCTCAGTCCACGCCAATCGGTTCATAATCTCCTCTTATGAGTAATCGCGAGCTTCAGTGCATCTGTGAATACACGTGACGAAATACAAATATGGCTGATACGAAGTCGTTTAATCTTTTTCCAATAAATGTTTCAGATATAAATGAATGTACCGAACGGGATATCAAATGCAATCAACACGATGAATTCCGGTTTTGTAAAAATCTTCCTGGTTCCTACATTTGCTCTTGCAAGGAAGGTTTTTTCTATCACAGATATTTCAAAGCATGCACAGGTATGTACGCTATTTTGTTGACATTGTCTGAAACATTTAGTAACCAATTTATGAATTGTTTCTCAAATTTCAAACAACAAAAAAGCTATCCAGACTCGATAAAATTAAATAAAGTTCTTTCTTAGATTCAAACGAATGCTTGTTGGAAACACACGATTGTGATACAAACATATCAAGATGTGTGAATACGAATGGAGGGTACAAATGTGTTTGCAGGTAATCAAATAACGTTGCAATTATTGCTTTCTACGTTCCAGACAAGTTTAGTCAATATTCAGTCTATTCAATGTCCTATATGAGCGGAATGGTTGCAGGATGGTCGGTGTCGTATAGTCTTTTGTAGGCTTACACTACCCCAAAATTATTGTTTAGTCGGTGCTTGACATGTTTTATTTAAAGTTGTTGTATTTTCAAACTATTTGGAGTCCTGAGTCCGAATTCTGTATTCTCCGGAGTCGTAATTTCCGACTTCTAATAAAAAAAAATTTCACTCACAGATTTAAAAAAAAAAATTGGCTTAAAGCCATAAACGCTTTATTAACAGTGGAAGGCCTCCGTGCGCCGAAGTTTTCAATACCAAAATTCCCAGACTTTACTATTTTTTCATATTTTATTTTCGTGACAGTCGCTAAAGATATCTTATCTTTTTTGAGCAGGGAAAATTACACCGGCGATGGCAAGAAATGTCAGCCTATAAGAGTGCAGAATCGACGACGTCTGGAACTTGAAGGTATAAACCAGTGGTCAGCAAACTTTATGTACTCGCGGGCCAAATATACTCATTTCCGGTAGCGTGCGGACCGCATTAGTTCCGCATATCAACAATCGCCACATTAAACCTCATATGACTCTGTTGCACTTTCGATTCCCGTGTTGAAAACCCGCCGCAATGAGACGTGTATGAGAATTTTTCAATATATATATTATCGAACAATCCCCTTTTTTATTTACTTAATATTAATGTCAAGGATGATGTTTGTTTGTGTGTTATGGCCAAAGCGTTAAAATCAAATGGCAACTTGCCTCGCGGTACGTCGTCCAAATGATGATCTTACAAGCGCGTACGAAATTTTTTCCTAGTATAATGCATTTTATATAAAACTGCTCTCAGCAATATGTGCTTTCGAACGTGCACATTATACGTTTTGCACTGACGCAGATATGAGCAGTGGCGCAACTCCGGGTCGAATTTCGTATTTGCAATGACACGTTTCGTAATGACGTTTAACATCAAATCCCTTAACTGCAATGCTGGCTTGGCATTTCAAGCCAAACTGGTATAGGAATGCCAAAGAAAAAAAAAAATTTTCCGTCTAATGCTTGATGTTCATTGCAAACTTCCCACCGTTTCTCAGACATTCTTAAATTTCAAAAATCATGATTTACCTAACTTATATATAATTACTCCTACAATGGGACGTTCATCGAGTAAACGACATAGAACTGACGCTACTTACCACAAATCAAGCACCGTACAGCATTTTTTACTTCATAAATCCGTGTGAATACAATAACAAATTTAGAATCAGATCAATTTTTGTTTCATGAATTAAAGGTCGGGTCGCAAAAAATTAGTTCGCAGGCCGCATGCATAAACTAACATGCTTATAAGTGAAAGTAGGAGAAACGTGTTTCAGACGTATTAAGTCTCCTTTCTTTTGTTTTATAGGAAACTAGTCTACCGAAGAAAACAAGAAATGAAAAATGGCATTTGTGCTGAAGGACAGCTAACCAAAACTCTCTCTCCCACCTATGATACCTATATCATTAATTTTTTTTAAAACAATGACACTTTTACTAGTTTTATTCTAATTATTTACCATTGAATAAAATAAGTCTTTGGCTTGCTTGTTTTGTGATATTATCACACGCATGTCTAACGAAAGTTCAGTAAATAGCTTTTCGGAATTTTAAACATAGTTCAGATAAGCACACTTTCTCGTACATAGTGAATTTTATTCAATTCAAAAAACATCGAATTAATAGAATAAAGTATACGATGAAGCTATGATGTTGAAAAAAAGTTTTTCAATTTACTTCCCAGAATATCTGTAATACAAAATAAGTTATAATAAAAGTATAAAAGTCATGACCAAAAGATACGCATTGAAAGTAAGTTCATAAAGTGTAAGTTGTACTCGATGACCGATTAACATTTGATAAACTCGCTCCAATGGGTCATCCTTAACGAGGATATGGGTGAAATTCACTTGTAATAGAACAGGAGCATCGTGCCTTATGGATATGAGATGGCATCTGATCTGCGAGGGCAGCAGACATTGATTTGTGACAGTTCTATCCCCGAATGTTCATTTTACAAGAGGCACTTTTAATGATCAGAATAATCTAGGATTCTAGAGGGTTTAGTTTAGTATTATTTTGCCGAGAGTTCGCACTGACAATCTTGAACACTATCGAATCAGAAATAGGATTCACCAAGAAAATTTTGCGTAAACGATAATGGCTTGAAGTGGACACAATATATATGAGTCAATTTAAAGAAGGCAAGCATACTATGAAGATTTCAATCAAATTCTTTTTCAATCTGAAGTCGGCGGGCCGGAGTTTACGTTGTTGTTGGAGGTTTGAATGTTTCAATTTTGATGTTGCTTTATGCACATATAAAACTCTTAAGAAGAAATAGCTTCAACAATACTCACCTCCAGTTATTGGGATTTAATTGGTTGGAGTGATTGTTCCGATCTGCTTTCGAGCCATCGCCTCCGTAACTGCCCGTGTAACCTCGATATCTGATTAAAAATAAAATATTGCAGAAAGTTTTATCAAAATTATTTTAAACCGAACGGTTAAAGCAAAAACTGAAATTTCTCATTCATAAGTAGAGCGATTTATATTCTTTATAAGGCTGAAATGAACGGATTTTTCTTTTTGAATTTATAACCTCCATGATTTTGAAACCGTATCCAAAATATTAAACAGAAGACAAAACACAGTAGAGTACAGGCTCCTCTTGTCTAAATTACAGCAAACGTTAACAAAAAGTAGACAGACAACAATTTACAAATTAGTAAATAATAAGAATTTCGTTTATTGCTATATATGCCGACGATACTTTTTACTGATATGCAGCAAATATTCTTACTCAGAATGGTTGGGGTTGCACTGGTTTGATCTATTATCGTTCGCATAATTGTGCGATTTGCTGCTTCCACTTCCTCCGTTCTGACTGGCATCTCCACTCCATGATCCACCCATGATTCTGGTAATAAAATGCATTGGTTGAGTTATAACGGCAAAAGGGTATTCTATATCTAAAACGGCATATATTTCAACAGCTGAAATTTACACCTCTCTCCTGGCCTACAGGAAGCAACAACAAATTTATTTCTAGAAAAGATAGCCTTTTCAGAGGCATATCTGTTTGGAAGCGACATAATATGCTTTCTATAGTCTTTTCCAAATAAACATACCGGTAGTCTTAATATTCATTAAAAGACATAACTTATATTTTTTACTTAGGGCTTAGTTGTTTTCAAATAGGTTATAAGCTTATTTTATTATAAAAAAAAAAGAGGCTTGCTCAATGGACCCTTTTTTGAGATGTTCCTCTCAGTAGGATCTTATAGAAAGGGCATGTGCATTATATATAGAAATCCGCTAATCTTCAGGGAGGGGGTCATGACTTTTTACAAGTTGCATGGACTGAAGTAGCCTACGACTTAGCTTATCATAAACGGCCAGCATGTTGTTTTGACTCAAACAATACTAAAATCGTAATTATTACTAGCTTGGGTTAATTATAGGAACAGCTAATCGAGAAATTGTTCCAGATGTTCGAACCAGTGATGTATGTACTGTGACGCCGAGAAGCTCGGCAAACTTTGCCTAAGAGCCCAATCTCCCATCATAATCTTACAACTTAATTAAACATTCTAATGCACCTTACCTCAGCTGTATATTTTGCTACGATCTTTTCCTGTATAAATTCCAGTTACGACAGTGGCAGTTAACCGTGGGTGAGGAAGAGACTTCACTAATACTAGCAACTCGCAAGCCGTCCCGCGATATATTGACGTGTACTGAAACTGTGGTATCGAAATATTCGGCATGTGAGATAGACGTGTTACGTCATAGTGAAAATCACGCATTTTAGTTTTATTTAACTAGGTTGAAATTTTTATACAAGGTCAAGGATAGCAAGTATCCGAACTACGAAGTTAGTCGCTTTGACGTTAATATTAGGCGAAATAGCTTGCGTTTCCCTGTCTTTCTTTTTTCAATCCCAAAAAATCAACCGATAAGTGTGGCAAAATGACCCGTGCTGGCGACATATGCACAAAATAATCAAGATTTGGGGAGAAATATCGGGCTCCGAAGCAGTGTTCCCTCTAAGGTGTGCGCGTGTGCGCGCGCACACAGCTTCCAGAGGCTGCGCACACGCATAGATTTACTGCGCACAGACGTATTTCGATGTAATGTTACAATGTTCTCGGTTGGCAGGTTGACAAAGTTTGTTGTTGGCCCACCCATTACCTGGTTAGAACGCCAAAATTTCTTCATTGGTTTTTGCACAAATATTAGTCATTACAAAAAAAGTGCGCACACACCAAAATTTCTGCGCACACATACTACAAAAAATTAGAGGGAACATTGCTCCGAAGTACTTGAAAATTTGCAATAGAATAGATTCCATGAGTAATTGAATAAATTTGCAATCAGTTGAAATAGTCGTTGCATAGAAAAGTCATTTTCCAAACCCTACCTCAATAATGACTACTTTTGTTCAAATATTTCAGGATAAACAGGGGCGGATTTGAATTGCGCCAGACTATCAGCAGTATAATATGTCGATGAAGGCCAGTTATTCAACTCTAACAAACTTTAGAATTGGTAATCTTGGTGCATCTAAAATTATCTGTGAGATTCCTAAAATCGTAATAATATTGTCCATTGACCCTTTTTGCCAGTAAGTTTTGGGAATATCTGATCAAGACATTGTTCCAGATGCACGAACCAGTGGTATGTGAATCAACCTGTAACTCCGAGAAACAAAATTTTCCTAAGAGATTTGATCCAGCGAACCAATATTTAGCACAATTTTTCTTCATTATACTACAACCTAAATGTTTTAACGCACCTTACCTGTTTATGTTTGTTACAATCTTTTCCTATAAATGCGGATAACACAGAGAAGACCGACACTTTACTGATCTCGTAAGCTATCGCGTTGTGTATATAATGACGTGTACCGAAACTATGGTATCTACAAATTCATTGTATTACATCATATTTTTGAATATCGATGTGTACTCGATAGCAAGTATCCCAAGTTAATCGTTTTGACGTTAATAATAGGCGAAATAGCTTGCGTTTCCCTGTCTTTCTTTGCCAAACCGAAAAGATCAATAAAAAGCGTGACGAAAATGCACACAAAACGATCAAAATTGGGGTAAAATTTCGGGCTCCATACTCGTTGAAAATTTGCAATAAAAGAGATTCCATTAGTAGTTAATCAAATTTGTTATCGACTGGGCTAGTGGTTGACAGAAAAGCGAATTTTTCCAATAACAACGTCACACCAAGAACAACAATACCGCAAATCGCTAAATGCGTCCACTCCATGTTTAGTATTGCCTTTTTCCAAATATTTTTGGATGAACATGGACGATTTTAAATCACACTGGACCATCAGCGGTAGGCGTTATTAAACTCAAATACGCTTAGAATTGGTAATATTGCATCTGAAATTGTGGATGTACATACATATATTAATTCTCTATGGAATATTTGTTGATGTTTCCGCACTGATGAACTCACGTGAATGTTGCGGTGCACATTCACACCATGGGCTGATAGGGCTGGTAATAAAACTGTTTCCCCTGCGACCGTCTCCTGCGGCCGTTAATGAAGATGTCACCTTAATTATCATAGTGATATGGGATATAGATCCAATCAGTGTAGTTCCCTGTGGCTCAATACTTGATTCACATTTGTATGGGTTTAACCGTTTAGTTATTTGGAACGAGGCGAAATTCATTCCCACTTTTATTTAAATATACAGTATATATTTAAAGCGATTTCACATTTGAATTTGATATATATATATATAGATGGTGATACCAACAAAATATTTCGAATTGTTCACCAATATCAAAGTCGATTATATTTGAAGATGAGAAAAAATCAGATTCCCAAATCTGAAATGAGTCCCAAATACTCAAATAGTTATTCGTTACCAATAAATGTAACGTAACAATACATATATCCGGTACAATGACCCCGTGTTTGCTGACAGTAGGGTTTTAAAATCACTATTTTTAAATAGCATTGCTTTCGGGCATGTCTGGAGAAGCCCGAGCTGCAATAGAAGGAGTCATTCAAAAGTCACCCATTTGGGAAACGCAAAGTGGCATGAACAAGCCGTTTCTAACAATTACTATTGTGGGAAATCTTTCGAAAATAAAAATTGAAGTTAGAGATTCATGATCCAGATATTCAAAACGCACTGACATATTTTCACCAACTTGCCCACGATTTGGCCAGATTGTGGTGGACTGGACGCCAAAATAAAAAAAAAACATGCGCTAACTATTCCAAAGACAGTGGATTAACCAAAGCCATTATAATATTTAGTCATATAACTTGATGCTTCGAAACATTCTATACCAAATTTAAATATTGGCAGCTTTGAAATTTGAGTTTTTAAATTTTCAATTTCTCTCCGGCCATGGTTGAAATCTTCTCCCGTGATTTCTTCTATGATGCACTGATCGTGATCCACTGAAGTCAATCATTAGTCATTATCAAACGGAAACTCTGGAATATGACTTGACTGCTTCGGATGATAAAATAAGTGGATTGTGAAAATCATACTGTCACTCAAATGAAGTGTTTGCCACAAACTCTTGTGCGCGTTGTAATCTGTTGAATTTTGTATAAGACAAAAAAACCTGACCTGATATCGAATAACGAAGACAAATTGAAGCTAAAGGCAATCCTCAAATATGCAACATGTTGGTAATTATATATTGCAGAATAGGGATTTGTCCAAAAAGATTTGTTTTGAAACAATTGTTTTAAATCATGTTTTTTTTGACTGAATTGTTCAAAATGGTGGTTGTACTTGTTTTTTTGTATTAAATGGGTTAAAACAAGAAAAATTTAAGCAAAACTCTCCTTATCGATTCTTATAATCAATAAACTATTCGAAACGCCGCAGGATGTTACGGACAGGGCGATGACTTGCCCGAACACACCCTCTCAAACTGTAGCACAACGCTCATGTCCAACTACGTCACCACGTGATGGAGTTGCGACCCGCCAGATTCACAAAGGCGGCGAAGTTTTCGGTTTTCAGTAAGCATTCTGGTGTCGAACGTCGTCGCTGCGTCTTTCACCAACGGTTAGGCGCCGATTATCGGAACGCTACCGATACCGTAACGAAGTGTTTGCTAAATGTCTGGTAGAAAGAGAAGTTGGATATGGTCTCTTTACGGGAAATTCCACCTAACACAACGGAAGGTAAAACGGAAGCGGAAGGATTTTTTCAAACAAGCCGTTGGTGTATTTTGCGAATAAATTTTGAAAATTCACCTGAAATATATTTATTATAACATTTCATTTGAATATTTTTGTTAAAAGTTTATTTTTCCACTGCAAAGGCAGATACAGCTCTGATTTATTTTTTCTGTATCTGTAGAGTGTAAGTAGACAATAATTGTGACAAACTTTGAGGATCACAATTTGAATCGGTAAGTTGCAGATACAAGAAAAATTTTATTACACAATAGCAGTGATGGCCTCTCGTTACTGGATTTCAATCTACAAATGCCCAAATGAAAAAAAACATTCATCACAGCATACCTACTGCATCTGTGCCCAATACGAAATTGCCAAAGGCTATAGTTATGTAACTATCGGTTGGGGTAATGCGAGACTAACTACTATTCCTTGCTCTATTCTAGGCATTTGCGTGAGTTGAGTCGTATGCGTGTAGTGCAAGGATGCTGTAGCAAGAATAGAAATGACTATTCTATAAGATTCGAGGGTCTTGCTTCATACTAACACACAAATGTATTTATGTAACGTTTTGGCTCACCGAGGTTTAATTAAGTTCATCATCTTCAAAACTTCGTTTTCAAATAATCTGAATTTATTTTCTATAAACACATTCATCCGGGGAAATTTTCGAAAGTTTTCTCTGAAGTACGATCGCTATACTATTGCAGTGCTGGGATATTTCTCCTGTGAGTGAATGTATATATCCGATATGTCATCTACACGTCTAGGCCCGTCATTAAATCCAAATATAACCGTTCTTTGATAATTTATCTGGTGTTTGCTTTGAGAAGTTCTTGTTTGCAAGTTCCGTCGTTGAAGCTTACTTCCGTCGGCGTCAATTCGAATTTTTATTTTACTCAACGTACCAATTATCGTGTTTGGCTACTATGAATATAGATTTGGTTGTGGTTGTTACTTATCGATTTTAATCTGTAAGTATGTTGATAGGTATCTGTCTGTCTGTTTGTCTGTCTGTTAGATGCACGTGATATCTCACGGAAACGAGATTGAATCTGCTCCAGATTTTGCATGTGCATTCATCATATGCCGTACCAGAAGCCTGATGATTTTGGATGAATTATGTCGTATAATTAGCGAGTTATTAATTAATTAGTGATGAGACACAAGGTGTCACTATGAGGTAAGAGCGCTGTGACAATATGGTGTTGACTTTAATCGAAGTATTCACATTGTGGACCATAAACTCGGTCCAAACAAACTTCAACACCATATCCAAGTTATTTAAGCTCACAATGCGACCAATACAATTTCTTCCTCTTCGTTGAAGTACTATTTTTCATGATGAACTGCCTAATCGAAATCGCGCTTTTCCCGCGGAAATTCTCTAATTTCTCAAATAGTATGGATGACACAAAATTCACGGATGAATCAAACGAAATATTGGTACTCAGTGGCTCGGTTGATCTTGTATACTTCATTATAACCCGAAGTGTCCTAAACCCATTATTATCTCCAACAATCAAGTTCATACATCAGAATGAATTACTGGTTAGCTATAGTCTGTGCGTACGCCACAAGAAACCGTGTTAACAATATAATGATCAAACTGTCTAAATAATTTTGGCCATTTCTGTCATTGTCACGTATCAAACTTTCAATGCATCATCCTCCCGATGATAATAATACAGTATTCAATTATAATCATTGACGCTCAAATCAATCGCAACATATTGCCGAGTTTATGTGATCACCTTTCCAAGCGTTTGCGCGAATATATAAAACGTGCCTTCGCATCTGAAATCGTACACAGGTCTATAGATAAAACTTGCATTAGTAGCCGAATTATGAAGGATCGATCTATAGACTATAGACGACAGCATTTAAACTCACAGCGTTTGCTGACTACAAACACGCTGGAATCGAGAATACCAATGACTTCGTGCAATTTTCCAAATTTATTTAACCAAGCTCGAGTGAGCTCAGATAGTATATAAAGAATGAGATAATATAGCCTTCCATCATTTTATCTTCAAACGCGATATTCTAAAGGCGATTGGCCCAACAATAACAATATGAACAACGGCAATAAGTGAAACTATACAGATGAACATTTTGTGATCATCAATTATTTTTGTAGTAAAGATCTGCTTTTGACTGATGGAATTACATGATGACTTTGTCTCTGAACATAAAGAGCCCTATAATAATTAACATGTTGTCGCCTCCAGTCCAAAGGGAAAAAATGATTTATTCAATCAAGTGACGCCAGGTTACTCTTTGGCTTTAGTTCGAAATCTAAAACTATTCCAAATTCAACTTCAAGAATTTTATTATGGTCACCATGCCCACAATTTCGCTTTCGAACGACTTGAACTGTCATAGGGTCAATGTACTTTTTTTCCACGAACACACTCCCCAATAGCAATTTTCGATGGTTTCTGTCAAGCTGGATAGCAAGACTGTTGCAGGTAGTGAGAGGATGTTTCTCTTGTGAGTGAATATATATATCCGATAAGTCATCTAAATGTTTAGGCTCGTCATTAAACCCAAATATCACCGTCCATTCATCATTTATCTGGTATTTGCTTTGAGAAGTTCTCGTTTGCGCGTTCCGTGGTTGCAGCTTACTTCCGTCAGTGTCAAGTTGAATTTGTTTCTTCTTTGACACAACGTACCAATTATCGTGTTTGGTCACGATAAATATACCGTTTGGTTGCGACTGTTCTACATTTAGTCGGTCTAATTGTAGAGGTAGCAAAGAAGATCGTCCACCTGTACCGACATCCGCCACCCATGTTTGCCCACTATCTAAAGTTACGAGTACGACAATATGATGACGATCATCATCGAAGCACTGCTTTCCAGCGTCATAAGCACAACCGAAACAAATTTCAACACTATATCCAAGTTCATGAAGCATCCAATATAAAATAGCATTGAGGCCGATGCAATTTTCTCCCCTTCGTTCATGTACGATTTTGTTGTAAAGAACAGTCAAATGAAAATCTCGTTTTCTTCCGCCAAAATTGTCCAACGTGTCAAAAGGTATGGATGACACAAAATGCACGCATAGTTCATTCAAGAGATCGATACCCAGAGGTTTAGTTGGTCCAGCATATTTTATTCTATCTAGAAATCGTTTTAAATCCATATGTAACATAAAGAGTTTATCCGTGTAAATGTGAAGGTGCCTGTACTGAAGTGTAGCAATTTTCAGATTTTGCAATCGAACATTGCAGCAATATCTTTCCCGCCAGTAATTACACTATGCACGCACAACAGGTATGTTATTTATACCAGAGGCATTATGCTTAGAAAATTCATCGACACGCATCAGTGAATAAACCTGGTTTAATAACTAGTGCGAACAGAAAATTGTAATACATTCATTAAATGCTTATTTTGCAGCTATTTGTGCAGCGGATCATAAAATCATAGCTGCAGCAACTAGAATTAAAACTTGAATATTTCCTCTACACTTTATATTATGTGATTCCGCGAATAAATCCTTCAACTCATAATACAAATTCTGGAATACCAAGACAAGAAATTCATAACTGTTGGCTGAAGAAAAAGACACGAACAATAATATTCCGAAAAGTATAATTGTTCGCCACGCGATTGAGAATGAAGAGCCCTTACTATTTAAGACACCTCAGATAAAAGACATTTATTCATCATTTTAGCTTCTATTTTTGCAACCCTCTGAGCGCGTAACAACAACGAATTGAAACCCGACAATTGTCGCTAAAATTAAATTAAACGCGATGGCGTCAGCATCAAATGTAACGACAATGAAGCACAACTTGGATTTAGCTTCCTGATAAAACGAGTAAACAGTCGCGACGTTAGTCAGTTTAAATATTTGCATATATTTTTGAAAGTTGGCCATGTGTGGATGCACAATAACGGAGGTTTGGTTAAAATATAAATTGATTGAATAAACATTTGTACTTACCGACTACCGGATGATGAACGTATTTCCCTGAAATTTGGAAGAAATATTTCAGTTGTCTTTTAATTAGAGGGAAATACTCCATTCCGTTACGATTGTCTTACCACAAGCTTTCTATACCATTGCTCTTTTGATTATTTTGAGTATATATATTTTTTATAAAGTAGTATGTTATCAAGAGTATTTATAAATTTACTCTATCCTCATTACTTATTTTTATATATACATAGTTCTAAAAATTGTTCTCGCAATTTTAATAGCCTAATTTTAGTTTTCTGTACCGGGCTGTCGGCCAATATTCCCATTCCGAATATATTATGTTACAATTCATTACATTAAACTCATACTTCGTCGTGAAATCGTCTTTGCTATTAGGTTTACTGCTTTGGAAAATGCTTCAACTTGTCCTATCTACATCGTTGCTGCTTATCTTCTACCAACATCTTTTGATTTTAGAAATGCTTATATATACAGTATTTTATTGACAATGAATTCCTAACAAGAGGGCAAAGATCAAATAGATGGACACAAAAGCCAAAAAGAAAAATTTTACCCACAATTTCCGACCGAATAAAACAGTGAAATTGAACTATCAGATCTCATAGGGTTCATAGAGAATCTGGAAACAAAAATATGTAATAGCTTCCTAGCGACAACAACAATACACTGGCCAGTGGTTAAAGAGAAAGGCGATTTTCCACAAAAACAAGAATACCAGGGCCTGCAACAAGATTATAATAATAACAAGAAAGCGATGCTCAAATATATGGACATAAAAGTCAAAACGAAGTAGTGAAGGACTGGAGGCATGCAATCAGTACTATAGTACAGTAGACTAGTGGTACCGCAGCCTTCATAACAAACGCTAACGTGGAATTGCCACAAGGTGCACAATTTTCGGTGACGTCATGGCACACAAGATACAAATCCCATATAGCCCACAGAATTTTTTTTAAAAATAAACAAAAGGAATAGACTGCTAGCGAAAAATACAGTTTTTAACCACTGGTAATTTCAAAGCAATTGGTCTAGTAATTAAAGAAAAAAGATATTTTTTTATAACAATAAGAAGAAAAATACCGACAAGAACAACAACATGATAACAAAACGGTCCATAGATCCACTTTGTGTCCCATACCTGTTTTTTTAATGGACATTTCAGGGTAAGTTATTCTCTTGCGCTATATTCAGACGTTAGCCACACATCCACGCACAGCAGGGCCAAATCGTATGATGTTCGTTTATGATAGATTTGATTTTGCAAGATTTTAATACTGATAAAAGATTAAAACGAAAATTGGAGTAAACCACCCCTTTTTATATCGGCTAACATAGGCACTATATGTTGAGAATCGTGGATTCGATGATTCAGATGATAAAATATGGAGTCATAATTAGACGCAAAATGAATACATGGATCGTTTTGTTATTACTTCTCGGTCAGGCGAAGACTGTGGTAGGGGTAGTCCACTGTGTGCTCGTCTACTATTTTATTATCTTGCATAAAAATGAATATATTAATTTGATACAAAAATCAAATCTAGATGTAATATAAATAAACGTGGTAAATGTACAATATGTATAAGGAATACAAGGTGTGCTTCCGCAGGCATTGACTTCCTTGTTTACTCCCGTTGTAATGGCTCGTCATTAAGCGGATGTTGACGTAGTATTCGGCTAATAACCAGTTCGAACAAGCCAAGCTAGGTAAACAATCTCTGAATAAGTATTATAAATGAATCTTTGGTGAGTTATAGGAAGAATGGTTTATGACCGAGGCCATCAAACATCCAAAACATTTTAATGAGACTGAATTGTCTACTACATGTGGTGCATTTTTACTGTTAGTTGGTATAACTGATATTACAGTTTGGATTTTACGTAAATTCCGTGATAAAATTTAAAAAACACAAACTAAATGTTAGTGAAATACGAAAATCTTATTTCTCAAAATATCTTTTGCACACTATGAAAAGACAAGTAAACTACTATGCAATTTTTGTGTCTTTTGAATTGTCGCAGATTTATGATGTCTAATACTCAAAAAAAAAATAACTATTCAAAATCGGCCAGTCCTTCCCAAGATTCCGCCTCACTCCAAATATCAGTTAACAAAACACGTCGCCGTCCATTTTCTTCTTGAACTTTAAGTGCGAGACTGGTGTCATTCTCTGGAACTAAAAGCCGTTTTCCAGACATCACATCTCCAATATAACGGAATGCCTGACCTTCCGCAGCTGTATCAATATCCGTTTGACCCCTACCCAATTCTATATCTCCGCTTTTGATCGTTACAAACCTATACCTTCCCATAATATTCATTACAGCAAAAAAATATCTGTTATATTCATTGCTATTTGATGGAGATTCTTTCCAGCAATGAATTTCTGAACCGTCTCCGACTACAGTGTATATTTTGGCATCAGGAAGCGAGATACTCCATGCGGTTAGACTTGTTTTACTCCTTATCTTCGTTGAAAAATAACTAACCACCGGCGCCTCCTCATGTGGAACACACTTGGCTATAATCAAGCTCTGATTTCTATTTGAAAACTGATAACGAATAGACTTTATCGTCGGTTCACAATTGCCAGTAGATAAATTTCGCCAGCTCCATTGTCGACGTGTCTCGTGCCGAGACAGTCTCACTTCATCTTCTCTGTTTTCCAATAACCAATCGGACAAAAAACTGTCAAATTTAGCTCTCATCTCATTGAGATTTCTGATAGAGTTCCATTTTTTAGCTACACGACGCTTGTTCATTCCGGCACGATGCTTTCTCTGTTCAAACTCGGAATCGCTGTCATAATCAGAACTGCTACAAGAAAAAAAACCGCGATTGCTGTTGTGAACTGACTCGCTTTCATCATCACTGAAGCTTTTTTGTGAGAAGAGCATGCGTTTTTTTGTTTGATAAAGTCCAGTCCTTTTGCATATATCAATATCCTTTTCCATGTTATAAATTTATTGCACTTTTACATAGAAAATAATCTGTATAATGTATGCAAAACATATTTTAAGTGATATTGAAATTCATCTTTTTAAGATCATAGTTTGGTATTGTCATAATATGCCAAAATATCCCTTTTTCCTTTTTAGTAGCATTCAATTTTTTCAACAGGTTTTCGCTTTTTGTGGTCAAATTCAATTGTAGTAATATCATTTTACTTTATGTATGTTCATCTTTGGTTAGGTGGATCCGTGGGTGAAAATGTCTGTGGCCCCAAATGTACATGGTTGCAAATGTTCATGGGTGCAAATGTCCTGGGTGCAATTTACGGTTGCAAATGTACGAGGGTGCAATGATAATGGAACTGTTATCTTCAGTTCATTTCAGAGAAAAGACATGAAAATCTGCATTGCATATGATTGAGATGATGTTTATTCATACCACTGACTTATATACTCGCTGCGTTGCGTGAAGATAATTATAACTGTGACTGGGGGTTTAGTAGTATTTTAATTATAGTATAAAAAATATCACAAAGTAAAAATCCAACTTTGCGAATGAAGAAAAATAACGTTATCGTTATCTTATCATTATCTTATAACTTCTAACAGCGACTTAATGAATGGGTAATAGTACTAATAGATATGCATAACTATGAGGATTTGAATATTACAATAAATATGCTTTCTGAAAAAACGTTCTCGTGCGTTTGTAACTTGTTGTTCAAAGCCCATTTAGGATAAGAATCATAAACACTTCGTAAGACGATGAAGCTGATTATTAATTAGATGATTCCTGTAAACTTTTTTAAATGTCTTACCAAATAAACTATACGTGTCAAGTATTTTAACAATATTATTCCTAAAATTATCTGAATTTTTACCTTGAAATTTAAATACTTTTAAATATAGCTGCAATGTTACAATCCCTGTCTAAATTTTAATTCCGCGTGCAAAATAATATAATCTGGCAGTCCTAAAACCCAAACTAACGCAGTCCTGAATTAGAACCAAGTCGTTGTTAATCGTAAAATTTACGATATTGGTATTTTTATTGACTCGTTACTATCAAAGTATAGATTGTTGCACTAATACCGTAAATATATACGCTAATACATTTGCACAAAGTCCAGTTAAATTCAAATAGTGGCATAGATATAAACGACCGATATGAACCTGAAGAAAAAAGGTATTTGGCACCACTTCCGGTTTCAATAAGGATGGATACCTCGCATCCTAATAAGGATGGATACCTCGCATCCTACTTATTGAGTAAATATGATAGGACTAATCTCAGTTGTACATAGATAATGCAACGAGAGCCATTTGCAACATTTTAAGGAAGCGTGGGCACCAAACAATGTTATTTATACGCAGCTTCGTCATCGCTTGTCACAACGATGTTACTGCAGTTCATATCCGCATTACTAATTTTTAAATTCTCAAAACA